TCAAAATACACTGGAAAAAATAATATAAAAATAAAGCCCGGTGTGATACTATAAATTGACCAAAGATGCTTTCATTGTTACCATATATCGAACAACTTTTTCTGCAGGCAGTGCTGTTCTCAGACATTACCAAACGTTTTAATTCATAAAATCCAAATCCAATTAGGGGTAAAGAAAACAATAATTAACTTTGGCCACAGCATGAAGGTCGTGACCTCTGTGCCTTCGGTGAATTAATAGTCGTCCCTCAGCTGTCTGACTTTAGGTAGGTATTGCCTTTAACGACAGTGAGAGAACCTTCTCTTCACGTAAAAAGAAAGTTGCGTGCAACCAGCATCAGAAACATGATGCTGTATGGCAGTGAATCATGGGCAGATGAAGATGATGACGAAGGTGGGCTTGCGTGAGTTGAAATAAGAATGGTGAAATGGATGTGTTGTAGTGGATCTCTCCCCTGCAACTACATCAGCATTCCAATGCGACAGTATTCTTGCAACCAGCCAACTGCTCAGGGGGGGGGGGGTCACCAGCTGCTACGGCTGCTGTGTATATCAGCTCGCAGTCTCTCCATTGAGATTCATTCTACCCTACGTTCCTGAACATGCAACATCTCTAACGAAGCTCCTGCACAGATAACTCCTAAAGCACGCTACTCACTGAACGTGTCTCTTGAGCAAGCCTCTCACCACATGGCATCTCCAGCACCAGACTGTCTTTCATATAATATATTTTATATAAGAAAACCACCACCTTAGAGTTTCCATCAATCCCATCCTGAGTGCTAGACCACATAATATCACGAAACCCTACAGTGTAACATGACGTTGAGAGATAGAAAACCCTGTTCAGACCAGAGAGAGTTGCTAAGCACAGAGTATACAACTGGCTAGGTATTGCATAGAGTTAGTCTGAGATGATACGGGTCAGGAAGAGAAAATGAAAGAGCAGTGGAGTCAAGAAATGCATGAGTTTGAACTGTTTGAATGTGGAAGGTAGAGCCCCCAGGGGTAGGCCAAGATTGACATGGGAAGAGGTTGTAAGAAATAGCCCCCCCGATAAGAACCTGACAAGAGATGGTGCAAGATATTGTACTGTGCCATCAGTTAACCCACACAAATGTGGAAAATGGCCATAAAACAAGTGTTGGTGACATGTACCTCTTTTCAAGGGTTAGTTGACTCCACAACGGACCACTGATGAAGATGTTCCTTCAGACATTTTCGTCACTATTACTGCCGAGTTAGGCAGCTACTGGTCAATGAGTGGCTGGCTTACCCAGGTCATCACAGCACGGTTCGAACTCCCCTTTTAACTTTACACATCACCACACCTTCCCTCCCAATTCACTGAGTTCGAGGATATATGCTAACCCTAGGAATTTCATGTCATGGGCCACTAGCAGCTTTGATAAATGACTACAGCTGTTTTAGTGTACAACAGTACAGTGCATTAGTGTTTCTTTTTTTAGTCATTGTTTACATCATTGCATTTTTGCATTACAGTATTTCTCATAATTATTGTAGAACTGGAAATTGGTTTCATAAGCAAATTAAAAGTATTTTTCTTTATAAAAGGGGGGGGGGGTGGTCCAGTCCCACCCTGGTTCTGCATACATATGTTTCTCAACCCCCAATGAAACTTACTCCAAGGCCCATTGTCCAGGTAAAGTACCACCCTTAGGAGAAACCCTCAGGGTATAATATTGTTTTGCAGTGTGAATTGTCTAGTCTTGTCATATACAGTACCTATTTGAATATGAAATATGTAAAACACAATTTTATTTATATTCTGTGGCTTGCTTATATATATATATATATATATATATATATATATATATATATATATATATATATATATATATATATATATATATATATATATATATATATATATATATATATATATATATATATATATATACAATAATTGATTTTGAGCTTTATTGAGGAATTTATACTTATCAAAAGCAGTCTGCATCTGTTCCAGGTTAGGTATTAGGTAGATAAAACTACTACAGTAGTTCTACTTGATGTTCAGATTGTGCAGGTTAGTCTGTATCATCCATAATGATTGAAGGGACATACCGGTATCTATACATGGCTGGTTTTTAACACATAATTTTTCATTTGTTCTTATTTTCCTTGGGAATTTAGTAAAATTTTACATACATTTTACATGTGGTTCGTTATCTAGGCCAAAGTAGTTATTAGTTATGGGTCTTTTCTGACCAATTCACTTCATAGGCTCATCCAGGAATGTTGTACCATATTTTGAAACAGTAGACAGCTCTTTTATTATTCTGGTAACTGGAAAGGATTACCATTAAATTACAGTTAACTCTCCACACCCCAACCCAATCTTTTCCTCAAATCCCCTTTCCTTCCTCCACCCACCCTTGCCCTACCTCATCATCTGAATTTCAAGAGTACCCTCAGTGTGACACTTTTGACATACAACAGATCCATTCTGTATATGGCACATCATCAATCAACTGCCAATGGTATGTCCACAATGATTCCTCTACTCCTTCCTTTCAACCTTGTTTCCCCACACCCCAGTCCTTCCCTCCCTCTTCAGCCCATTCCATAAAATCAAGCAACCTGACTTTTCACTTATTCCAATGTAATCAAGGTACAGGAAAGGGGTGTAAATGGTACCTAAACATGAGAGCCCACCAGGCCAGCAGGTAGTTGAGTGCAGCCTTTAGGCTATGCCAAAAATTTTGTTTTAAAGATACATAAACAATCTGTATTGAAATATAACAATCACACCAAAAAATGTGTTTATGGGAGTTTAAATGAGGATGAATTTTGTTATATTATCTGTTTCTCATTCACGAAGTTAGACATGTACAGTAAACCCTTGCCATTCGCGATGGATAGGTTCTAAGAAATGGCACGAAATAGCAAAATCCCGAATAGCACCTTATACTACCTAAGTGCACTACTGTATACCTATACTAAACAACTGACCAGCTGCAGCAGCACTCATCCCCTTTTAAACTTTCTTTGTCATGGTCATCACTGACTTCTGCCTTTTACATTTCACTCCACTAAGCAGTCTCGTAGGGGCCATTTCACACAGAAACACTAAAGTTTTGAGATTACAACACGAGATGCTGTGTGGGGTGAGTCATTGTGCTATAGGAAAAGGCTTGCAAGCTAGCCACCATTTGCTTACCACGAATCGTCGAAATTGCGAATCGCAAACTCATGAATAGCAAGGGTATACTGCATGTGTAACAGTGGCGGGTGGCCCTGGAGAAAGGAGGAATGAATAACTGAGGCCTCAGGGGCCCCAAGATGTCTCTCTCGAGGCCTGCATGTAATGCAGTACAAATACAGCACGCCCTTACAATCCGCAGCCTTCGATTATTTGCAGATGACACCTTGGATGTGCCCAAGAATGTCTACGGGTAGTTTTAAAGTTGGTGGCAATTTCACAGCCAGGACAGGGAGCCTGCGAGTTTTATGGCATCCCGCAAGGTTTTTCTCTTGTCCCAGGTGACTGAGCCATGTGCTCTCACTCCACCTCAGTGACAGTCTGGGTTAAACACTTGTCTGTTTCGCACATTTGCTACTCTGCTCTCTTAACAACTGTGCTCCTTGTGCTTTTGATGGCTCCCAAACGCCCTCAATCACCTTCATCTAGCTGCGGGAAGGTGCCCGAACAAGTGAATAGAGAAAAGAAGGTCATGTATTTCTCCCATACATATGCATGGCAACGGGAGAGAGTGACTGCTAGTTAGCGCGTCGTTTGTACTTGTAACTCTCCTCAAACTCCGGCCATATTTCACTGGGTATACGTACTGTACTGTTATTATTTATGTTTACTGATAGAATAGTGTTTAATAGTGATTAATCATAGCATTGTACCAAGGTTAGCTCATCAAGGAACCACCAGGCTACTGGGCCAAGCTGTGAAGTGTTATGGTTTTTTTCTACTCGTATTTTCGGGTAGATATACGTAACTTTCTTCATTTATTTTTACTCATTTACATGCACACACCATCCTAAATACATATGTATTGTGAGAAAAGGTAAAAGAAATAATTGTCCTAAGGGCAAACACGTAACGGGAGGAGAGTGCAGAGTGTAGCTGATGGGGAGCGTTGCTAGGGAATTGAAGTCCCAGCTGATCTTCGTTAGTATGGTGCAGCAGGTAGTGTATGCAAATGGTGACTGTGTTAAACTTTCATTTGGCTTTTATTTACTGATTTGGCAATAGTATTTTTTGTTGTAACTTATTTATTGGTATTATTTTTATTTATTCCTCACATTTCCTGGTACTGTATATATTATTTTAAAAAAACTATGGCTGTGAGGTGTTAAGGTCGTTTTTCAACGCATATTTTCGAGTAGATATACATAACTTTCTTCATTTATTTTTACTCGTTTACATGCACACACCATATTATACACATACAGTATTGTGAAAAAAAGTATAGTATTACATCACAATTACCGACATCCTTCATGTTGGACTGGCTACATGGCTAAGAAAGAAATTTTGTAAGTTTGATCTATGTATCAATCCAGCTGGCGCTCAGATGACATTCATTCTAGATACAGTAATTTTTACGAGAAAATTTTTTTTGCATGGCAACCTAACCAACCCAACTTTAATAACAAAGCATGGAGTTGACTTAAGGGTAGACTCTCGCATTTTTTCTATATTTCGATACTTTTTTTGTCTTGATTCTGATTATTTGCGAGAGGATTTTCCCATTATTATTTATTAGTGGGTGTGTGTGTGTGTATGGCTACACACACACACACACATATACAGTACAGGTAAAAGAAATAATTGTCCTAAGGGCAAACACAAAGGGGAGATACATTTCTTTGCACACGAAGGAATCCCCCCCCCCTTCCCCGTCAGCAAATTATATTCGCGGCTTTGGCAATTTGCAAACATTTTGAGACCCAAACCCAAGCGAATTTTAAGAGAATGCTGTACTACAATTAATAACATAAGAGTAGGTTTAATAATACAGTACAATGGTTGATTACAACTTTATGAAACTATTTACATAAGACTCACACTTTTTTTCCATCAATTAGTTCATAAAATCATATAGACAATATTACAAACCAGTGGAGAATCCAATTGATGATGTCAACGTTCATAACTCTGTTGTGAACTTCACAAGTCATCTCGAACCTGAGAAAACAATTCACCATAATTTTCTTTTACATGAGTATCACTACTGTATATTATATGTAAAAATATTTGTTATTATTAAATACAGTATATTCAAGGAAAGAAATGACCACGAGGAAATATTTTATATTGGTGTTTTAACTTTAAACAAATATGGTCACATCTGTTGCAGAGTTCATTATGATTATGGCTGCAGCATGTAATGCACAACGTTTATAATCTCCATGAATGTGTAAACCCCCAACTTTCTTAATAAATGCCTCTCCCTATCCTTATTATCACGTGTGTTTCTCACACTTAATAGATTGTGTATTGCCTATATGTATATTATTATGCTTGATGAGTAGATGATTGATAAACAATGTTTTTTCATGCTCATTTGTTAGAAAATATAAAATTTAGGTCTTTGCGGCCCCCCTCACTGCATTAGAATGCGTAGCTATGCTACTGTGGTGAATTAATTTACCAAATTAAACCAATACTCTTCAATAATACGTATCACATTTGAAGAGTCCACCAATAAGTGCTCAACAATGTTGCTCTATTTGACTAGGAACAACCTTTTAAGGAAAGGCATCTTAGAATTCCACTTTTTGAACATAGGCTGGAAAATGTACCATCCCCTTATGCAATACTTTCATAATGGGAAGGATAATTACAATAAGAGAGCTTACCATGAATCCTGGGCCTGGAGGGGGACCAGTGAGAGATGTGAGACCTCCAGCAGGTTCAGCAGCAAAGCGACCATTTCGAGGCCCAGCTTTAGGCTTCTTCCCAGCAGTCAAGGTGTCGAGTATTTCCTTTGTGTCAGCTACTGCTAGGTCTTCCTATAATAATAAAGTTATATAATGTGGAGAGATCATGTAAAGCTCCTGACAGGTTTAGATATGTCTTTGTCAGGTAGCTTAGTGTACACCATTCCAATCCATATCAACTATGTTTTCTAACTCCATCAGGAAATAAGCCTCACCCTTGTTTTCCTAACCATAGCAGTTGTGACAATTCCACACCAATTTTTTTATATTTTATTATAAGGTGAAGCAAACAGTACATTGTAATGAGAATTAGGCAAGATGTTTCAAGAGCTTGACAGCAGTTAAAGAAGAGCCACAGTTATCAAGTGTGTACTTGCATTACCTGAAGACTAATTACTTCCAGTGATGACAATTTATGAATAACAGCAAAAAGACAAAACAAAAAACAAAGAATGTTCATAAATTGATTTGGGTGCCAGAAATTTAACTCTTTATCAACCCATTACTGTACTTGATGGGCAAGACATATGCTGTATACTGTACAGTACCATATTTTATCAATCTTTTGAGCAGAAAAGCAATTTTATTTTTAATTATTAATTTTTATGTACAAGTGGTTGTAATGGGGTATTAAGACATGATAGTGTGCAGGAGGCAGAGAGTGTACCATTGCAGCAGAGGATTCGGAGTATCAGAATTTATCTTTTTTCCCTACCAATGTACAGTATACAATAATTACTGTACTATTGTACACCAATATAATTTCAATAACGATTAAAAATTCAATTACCAGGAAAAGTTCAGAGAGGACTATGAATTTAAAGGCATACCCACAAAAATTAAATGCTTTCAGTAGAATAATATCTACTTGGGAAGGGATTGTGTGATGAAATTTTATATTCAGCATTCGAAGGCATTTCACAATGAGAACCAGCAGTAATATAACACCCACTAACAAAAACTATCAATTCATGCTTAACTTACATAGTAGTCATCATTGATCTGCATCATGGGTGCGTTGACACATGCTCCGAGGCACTCAACCTCAGAAAGTGTAAAGAGGCCATCTTTTGTTGTCTCTCCTGGCTTAAGACCAAGCTTCTCATGGATGGTGACCATAATATCATCTGAGCCTCGCAGCCAGCAAGGGGTGGTTGTGCATACTTGGATGTGGTATTTGCCTACAGGATTTCTGAAACAATGTTCATTTAATTAGCATGCAGCCACCAGGTATAATGTTGATTGACAACAATCACCAATGAAAACAATCCTTTGGGGAAAAAGGTAATGTCGGTGTCTTTCCTGTTAAGTTGGAAAAGGTACTAAAAAATTAAGTTGAATTACTGATATTAGGTTAAATGTACTTAATTAAAAGTACAAAAAACCTTCTTCATAACTAAGTGAAAACACAAAATACAGTTCTGTATAGTACTTGATCTGAAACATACAGACAGTCGTGATAAAATACTGTTTCTTAGAATTCAGCTAACAGTTAATGTATTTGTTGGGATGTGAGAAATAACAAGACAATGGTGGTGAGAGATAACATGCAATGCCATTCTGCCACCAACACCCTCCTCATGGGGGTCCAGTCAAAACAAGCATTTCTAATACAGCACTGTACAGTATTTCCCATTTTATCCTGAAAATCAAGTGAGGTAATCCATTTTTAGTAATCACTCAAATCACTTCTTTAATCATTACCATTTTACATGATATAATAATAACCTTACCTCATAAACATGGTGTAGAAAGTTGCAACTTCATATACTCTCATCCTTGGCATGTCTAATAATTTGGCCACTTCATGCATAGCTGTTATTGGGAGCCAGTTCCCAACCTGACGTTGTGCCAGGTCCAACAAGGGAATAACAGCAGCTTTTTTATGACCATCTGGGTAGATCGATATGATTGCCTGAGCTCGCTGAAATACAAGTTAAGTTGATGACTATAAATAAACAAATATACATTATAAAACTTTACATACAGATCAACAGCTGAAAGGCAATTGAGGTAGTATTACCTGTTCCCAGTTATACAATAGACTACTGAAAATCTAACAATACTGTACTGTACTGTACTTTACAGTACATAACCACCAACCTAATATTGTACATAACTGAGTTCAGTACTTAGTACTGTACTTACATACATGTGTCACTGTACTTAACTACTGTACTGTACCAACATAATGTATAGTATACAGTATATAACTACACCAAAATAATACTGTACAGTACAGTGTTGCTACCAACATATGGTGTAAATAATAACCAACATCAACCCATTCTAACTACAGTATCCTTAATTATATCTCTAAGGTACTGCTTTTTTATTTTATAGATTTCAAATGTTTTTTATGTTGCTTTAGCTGATCTTATGACAGTACATATATACTTCACTTGGTTCTCTAATAATACACTAACTCATTCTCGACCTTCTGATGCACCACATTGTGAAGGCCTCAAGCCACCTGGTGTCTGCTGAGGGTGTCCACACTTTTGACTCATACATTAGTACTGACCATTTACAGTGCAGTACAGTACTGTACTTCAATTTAGCAGCCATTATCTTCATGTCCCTGTTTAATAGATCTTTAAGATTACTAATTGGTGTTTTTACCTAACTCATTTTTGTTCACAACTTAAGTTACAGTACTGTACTTCCCAAATACAGTACTTAAAATGTTCCACCTGTTTTCAGTTTCCTGTTACCCACCATTTTCCCTATTTTAGGATTTATTTCTTATATGGAAACAACCTACTGTATATGGCTAAACTGTTAGCCAGTTTTTGTAATGCCTCTTTATTATGTGTAATAAGAGAATTTTCATTTGCATACGAAATAATTTTTATTACTTTACCATTAACTTATTCCTTAAATGCTTCTTACAACTTCTCTCATGTAATTCTGAAAGGATATCATAAAATGTTGGAGATAATACATAGCATTGCTTAACTCTGTTTATAACCATAATCCATGCAGTAAGTTCATAATTTACTAGCACTGCAGCTTCCTGATGGCAGTACAGTATAGGATACAGAATCTTTTTAAGAGTTCTGACGTATAAGTTTGTAGTGTGTACAGTACTGTATTTTACCCAAATCTAATGATTATTCAAATTCTTAAACTTGTGACTCCTTAACACTGTCCTCCTCCATTTTGATCTTCAGAACTCATTACTTATCTTAGTGGGTTTTTTTATTTATTATATTTAATAAACCTTTGCAGGCAATTTTTGTTAAAATAACTCTTGAATTAGCTGCACTCTAAGGCTCCTAGTTGTTTTGGCAATAACAGATAGCTACATATACAGTACTAGTGCAGTTTCACTCAAACCTCTGATCCCATTCCTGACCATTTTCTTCATTATTCACTTACTGTACCTTCAAATTTTCTGCAGTAAACTCAAATGGTGTATCAACATTGTTGTCTGCAGAGTCTCGGTGCTGTAGGAGAGAGTGATAGCGGTAATTCTTTAAAAAAAATATATGCTGGGTATACAGTATAAAAAAATAAATAATTCTCAACAAAATCCTCTATACTGTAATTATATTTATGGGGGGTATATATATTTTCCATACCTTAACCCTATATCCAGTACTTGTACTGTATAATTATATACATACATTATATGGGGGTGGAATAATGGAGAAGAAAGAGGATTGTTACACTGTGTTGGTGAACAGAAGCATTGAATGATGTTAATGTACTAAGAGGAACTGTTTAACTATTATTTGGTAGAAATGAGATTATTAGACAATGGAAGGTTCAAGGTGAGACATTCAAAACTGAGAATGTTGTAAAAGTATTGTAATTAGTTTAAAAAAGAGTAACAAGGCGAGAAATATAAAGAACAGAATGATACAAGATGGGCACATCAGTGCCATAGCTAGCTATGAGACAGAGGAGGCCACTGGCTCCTCTGAAATTGACAAGTACGGTATTTGATTGATTAATATGTAAGAGATGGTGCATGTTTTTACATACTCTACAATTCTTTGCCTTCTATTTTTGTAGCCTAACTACAGCCCAGCACATAATAGGGATGAAGGAGAAGGGATTGAAGGAGCTGCCTAGCAAAGACATCCTAGAAAAGGAGAGATGTAAAAGATGTGTGAGGCAGAAAGCTAATCATGGTTTGCCCAGGTGTTACAAACACACTAAGAGTATAGAAAACAAAATATTGATAAAAGGCATATATAATTTAGAGGATGATGATAAAAGGGAGAAAGGAAGACCAAGAAGGATGGAGTGAAGGATACACTAAAAGTGAAGGTGATGTACATTCAGGAAGCAGTGGTCTGTGTGAATGATGAGAGAATGTGATTCTGAGGGACAAATGTGCTGTAAGTGGATGATGCTTTGGTGTATGAAGCAAGGGGACCAAAACCAGGCAGGTTTCTGGGGATTTTCTGTGGGAGGAAAGCACCATAGCATTAAAAAAAATTTACAGACGAAAGAATGAAATAAGGGAATGAAGTCATTGATCTTGGTATATAATGGTAGTCCTTCACAAATTGTACTCCTTTAATAATTTTAAGCAAGAAGTTAAAGGTAAAAAAAAAAAGTTTACAGTACAGTATATAAGTTAAACTTTAAGCTCACAGCAAATACAGTAGCGAAAATAGAAAGTGGCATGTACAATGCTATCACCACCAGACTACTGTATGTAATTAAAGAAGCAAATCTAAGGGCCTCCTTTGCAAGATATTACTGTTGTACTTACCACAAAGAGGCTATCACTACAGGCAGCAGCACTTCTATGCACATTACGAACACTCCGCACCTGTGTGACATTAGTATAAAATAAGTTGAAGTTGGTACTATACTGTGTTGGTTAAAGGAGACTACTGTATTGTCACTATCTTTCCTTGTAATTTTTAAAAGATGTCTTTATTGGGTATGTTTTAATTTAAACAGTGTAAATCCATTGGTCTAGAAAAAAAACCTTTTAACTTCCTTCTTCAGGGAGGCAGCAGGTTAAAACAATAATGAAAGCATGTGTAATCAGCCACCAAAACCAAACCCAATTAAATAAATTAACATTAGTTTCACGTATGTGAAATTGATTTATGTGAACAGCCATAATGGCTTAACCCTACAGCCTCCCTGAAAGACAATTTTTTTTTTGAAAATTTCATTGTGTGAATTAAAACACCAGGGTATCCAAATATATCCCATCAAATTATGTCGGGGAATGAAGTGCCGACCATATTCTTAATATTCACACAAAAAAAATGTTTAGCTCTACTATTCCATTTTATGATATTTTAGCAGAATATTTACTGATAAGTTTGTTTTAACTGTGTAAGACTAAAATCCACACAAGAAACAAAAGATTTAAAGACACACAGATGTAACACTATTAATCTTACAACCAAGAATATGAAATAGAAGAGGAAAAATAGGTCACCACTTGCCCACACCTGTATTAGGGTGCCCGGGCGGACATGGACAAGAATTGCGGTGCTTGATTGATTTCATTTAATTTCATTGGGGTAAAAATTCACACATATACTGTACACGTATATTGTAACATATACTCACTGGGCTAACACAGAGTATTAAAACCAGTTATTTCTAATGTGATCCATCCGAAAGGACCGAAAATGACTGCAGATAGCAAGGTAAAAAAACAAATTACAGTAAAACTGATTAAACACATCTGGCTTTCTTTTGGTACAGCGAAATAAATATACATTGTAATAATAATAAAAACACCGGTGCTGCTCCAATACTCCAAGTGTTTAGCCCACCATATCTCATCCATTCTAAATATTTCTGTATGCTCCATTAGTTTATTTTGATGATTCTTAACTGTAACATACCGAGGTGGAGGTGAGGGCCCTAGCCAGAGAGGATAACATTTTCACACAGGTAAACCTCCAGTCAGCTGTAACACCAACACTGATCAGCTGAGCTAGCCTCGGCCACCACTGCTGCCATCTGCAGGCCACACACACTGAACATTTACCTAAGAAAATTGATTTTAAGGGGGAACTCTTTTATTTATATTTTTTTGACATCAATTTAGTAGCCATTCGTGCTGTCAATCTATTTTTTACGACCTTCGTTGTCTATTGTTAGTACAGGAGGAAACTTGAGTACCCGGAGAAAACCTGTCATTTTTTATAAGGTCAGTGGATATTGTAGTGGATTCCTCCCCCACAAACGCTGTTTGTCGCTGAGTAGCCGATCCCGCGAATTCCCCAGTGTATGCCTCGTGGTCTAGGTCAACCAGCGCCGGCTTACATGACGGAGATCAACTACTAAGCCACGCCTAGCTCCGCTATTTATGACCTGACCTCGTGGTGACCTACCTCTCTCTTTTCTACCTACACCAACCAGCCAGCAACACCTCCTCCTCCTCCGCCTGCCTGGCGGTCCTCGCTCCCTCCGGCGAGCATGGCGACCCACAAGCTGGTCCTCCTCTGAGCATCCTCACCAACCAGCTCTCTCTACATCACGCTTGTGACCACGCTGCATTGTACATCCAATACAACATGTATACAGAGAGCATATTGTGAGTTTCCTTTCTCCATCCCATCCTGAGTGTGAACCGAAACATCCCATACCCCACAATATCACTTTTTACTTTTTTTTTATCCTTTCCACCGACGGATCGGCTCGTTAGCAGCTTGGGCGATCAGTCACATCTCTGTTACTTTTCTTTTTCTTTTATCCTCTTCACTAATTGATCAGGAGCCGGTGCATGCCCAGTACTTGCCAACAGTGCGTAACAGAGACGTGACCGATCGCCCAAGCGGCTAACGAGCCGATCAGTGGTGAAGAGGATAAAAGTAAAAAGTAAAAGTAAAACATTAGAAAACTTATATAAGCATACAGGTCGTGAACCACCCTCATTGACATTGGTCGTTCTCGGGTATCACCAAATTAGCCAATCATAGACAGCGGTGTGGGCCGACATCTGGCAGACCATGGCACAGCGAGCCATAATCTCTCTTCGCCGCAATGTTGTTTCATTCTTTTCTACTCTCTACAGGCACCTTAACGGGCAATGTTCCGTGGATTTGGCATCCTGTGTACCGCCGGCAAGGCCGTGGGCTCGTAATACTTGTCTTGCCCGCGGCGCCCACCGTTTGTGTGTGGATGTCGGTCACACTAGAATAACTCGTTATAGTAGTTCCTTCTGTACTCACACAGCCAAACTATGGAATGCTTTACCTTCTTCTGTGTCTCCATCCTCTTACAATCTGTCTTGCTTCAAAAAGTTAGTTTTCCGTCATCTTCCGTTCGTGGTGTAGATTCATACACACTTTTTCTTTTAACATTTTTACACCCCCCTCCTCAGGCCCCGTTGTGGGTCGATGACCTGTGCCCGGGTGGGTCATTCCCCATAAAAAAGTGTGGTGTTTGTGTGTTACTGTCTCTGGCTACACTATACCTTTAAGATCTATAAATGTGCAACCGACTCACAAGATGTGGATGCGAAAGGGCTCACATATAATTTGGTGATGATAATGATGTATCAGGCTGATGTCCTCTGCTGTGGACATTAATTAGGATTAGATAATTACCCCTTCACATAAGATTTTCCAGGATCTGTATAATATGCGGTCTGCTGCCACTGTAAGTCACGGGTAACAGGAAGGGACTCCCAAAACTCAAAAGTATTTACAATAATGTATATTCGCCTCTGGAAATTCTTCAGCCCTTCTATACTGACTTGGCTTCCTAGCATACATCCTTGGTTATCATAGTGGCCAGACTTTCGTGTGACTCAGTCTACTTTTTCCATGGTTATGCAAACGTCTTCTACAAGCACAATTTTTTAACCTCCAGCAGACAAAGGATAGATTTTGAGTCTCATTGGAGAGAGAGAGAGAGAGAGAGAGAGAGAGAGAGAGAGAGAACTGTTAATAGGCTGTTATCAATGTATTGTACAGGATGAAGCAATGTGAATTTGTTTGACAATTTTAATGAAATAATATTTATTTATCTATGTAGGATGTCCTAAAACAAGTAGACCTTTTGTTCGTGAATACTTTTGCGATGTATTGATATGAATTCATTGTTAATTATTTAGATTTTTTTATACAATTTAGTCATCACTTTAACATTTTTGAAATCATAATGTTTATTATAATTTAATACGTATAAATTATCATTTACCTATTATGTAATTTGAAATGATATGAAACAAGTTTAAACGTCATTTACGAATGTCTACTATTAGTAAACATTTAAATTCCTTTGACAGATATGTTTCACCTCGCAGCCGTGAGTGAAAAAGTAGTTTATAACCACATTACCTCATGGCATTGTACATAACACCTACTACATTATAATTTCTATTTAATATGTGCTTTTTACTGGTTCATTTCCACCATATTAATGATAACACTTAACTGTACTGACGCCAGCTGACCCACCACCGCTCTACTAGGTGGCCAGGTTAAACATTCTATGAAGGAGAAGGGGTAAAATTATCGTCCCGGTCATCCACCTATTTGGGAGTTGTTCGAAACACTTAAAAAACTATGGGAAAAACAATTTCAACCTAACCTAATATAAACTTAAAATGTAAAATTTGCTGGATGACCGAAACGATAATAATACCTTATGTTTTTCCGATGGTTTTTGATGCGTTTTGAACTATTCTGACCTTCATTACTATTGAAATCACTACTTTTTGCGCCCCCCCCCCCCTCTTATCCAACGATAATGGGGGACCCCCAGTGGAAGCCAGGGGTTTGGGATTGGGGAAAATATATTAAAATATAATTTGCGATAGAAATGAAGGTCAGAATCGTTCAGAGCATATCAATAACCATTGATAAAACATAATTTCAACCTAACCTAACCCAATCAGTAAAATCGGTCACAGCACTGCTTCTCAAACGCATGCTTCAGACTCTAGCATATGCGTAATGCAGCATAGTAACCAACAAATGAACACACAAGAGCTCTCTTGGACCGTGGTAACTTCAAATCCTAAAATTCGCTGGGTGACCAAAACGATAATAATACTGTACAGTACCAGAAAAGGTAATACGTTAGATATCAGTTTCATAGGAAGACACCATGTAAGGGAAATTTTTTGTAGAAGAAAACTTGATTTTACCTAATTAACAGAATAAACAGTTCCTTTCCTGAGTGGCATTCTAACCCAGGGACTTAAGAGTTAAAATTTATTATTAAAAAAAAAAGTACTATATATATATACTGTATATATATACAGGTGCTCCCCGACTTACGACAGGGTTAGGGACCCAAATCCCGGTCGTAAGTCAGATTGCTCGTAAGTCCGACAGAAAAAAAAAATCAAATATTTAAAAAAATAAAATAAAAAATCTACAATGAAATACAGTACAGTAAAAGTAATAAATAATGAGGAATGGATACAGTGTGACTGAGCACTTACCTTTAATGTAGTCAGCAGAATGCACACGGGGCCCCCATAATTTTCTATTTACAGGATACATGGAGATTATATTAATTGGATGAAGCAGAAGAGGAGACAGGGCTGGGTGGGTCATCAATGTCTCTTTCTTCAGACAGGTTTATGTGCTGTGGAAACTTGCTGGTTGAAGGTATTGGATCATCTTGAGGGAGTGAAGAGGCAGCACTGGTGGGGCATGAGGAGACAGCACTGGGGGACTTCTTAAATAGATGTCTAATTTAGACTGCACAGTTTGTTTTTTCTTTTCATTATGAATATCTCTGTAGCAAGCAAGTGCATCTTGGATCATTCTGTCAACTTTGGCATAACGCTCATAATTTTGATCCATGCCATCAAACATTTGCATTCCTTTATAAATTGTAGCAAATGCCTCTGCCATTTGTTTCACTAAAAACTTTTTGGGGGGTGCAGGTTCTTCTAGATTTTGTCTCTCTTCTTCCTCTGCAATTTTCTGTGCATGTAGTTCAATAAGATCCTCGTTGCTGAGCTCTTCTGCTACACTTTCAACCAACTGTTCAACATCTTCATTATCAATTTCTAACTCCAACTGTTTACCTAACTTCACTATCTTGTTACTAATATCCGAAATAACTTCATTTTCATTAACTCCTTTGAAACTGTATGTCCGCTCAGGCATGCGCTTCCACAATAATCCAGTCTCATCCACATTGAATATTTGCTCAGACAAATAATTCCCTTCCACAATCACTTCATCTAACTCCTTAAAAGCTTCGGCAGCACCAACATCGGCACTAGCGGCCTCTCCACTCACCTTAACATTGTGTAGACTGTAGCGTTTTTTAAATCTATCAAACCACCCATGACTTCCTGCAAAGGTTTGATCACATTCATCTCTTGCCTGCTCCTTCAGGCTTTGGAACAGGCTTCTTGCTTTAGCCTGTATGGTTAGAAGGCTTAAGGGTACACGCTTCTGTATCTGGTCTTCTATCCATATCACCAATAATTTTTCCATATCGTGAATAGGACCTTGTCTTTTCTTTGAAACTATAGTTCCCTTTATAGGTGTTGTTCCTTTCACTACATCATGAATACGTTCCTTGTCCTTCAGAATAGTGGATATGGTCGAGTGTGAGAAACCTAGGTCACTTGAGATTGTTGCTACAGTTTTTCCATTCTCATGCTGAGTTATTATCTTCATTTTCATCTCAAAAGTAATTGCCTGTCTCCTTTTCTTTGGAGCACCACCAGCACTCTCATTTTTACGCTTTCCAGTCATTATAAAGTCAATTAAATACGATAATAATGAAAGTTCACAGCGCGATCAGTATAGGATACGATAGCCAAACACCAACTAAGCGCTCCACTAAGTGAGTGTACCCACGCTCTCGCCCAGGATAGAAACGTTTCGGTATAGAAAATGCTCGCGACATTTGAAAATATTTTTGATCACGACTGCCGCAGTCGTATGTCCCGACGGTTGTAAGGTCAGAGCAGGTCGTAAGTACCAATGGACATAAGTCCAAGCAGTCGTAAGTTGGGGACTACCTGTATATATATATATATATATATATTATATATATATATATATATATATATATATATATATATATATATATATATATATATATATATATATATATATATATATATATATATATATATATATATATATGTATATTGTATTTTTATTTGTACAAGTGCATGTAGAGATTAAGACAGTGTACTACAGTACAGTATATTATGTATACCTGTACTCATATACTGTATATTTTTTCTCAGATTTGATGCAGTTATGTCTACAAGTGATGATTACCAAGTTCCTGTCCGGGATGGACATGCTATACATCCAAAATATAGTGAGTATTATATTCATTGTTGTGATGATCATTGTGGCTTTAAATTAGCATCGGTAGGAATAACAATACCTGCACATATGTCTGTAACTAAAAGCACTTACACTTTGGTGAAAGATTTTGGCCCTAAACTTTAGGAGAGGGTTTACTCATTTCAAATGGTTATTTGGAAGTCTGTGACTTTCAGGTTAGTGATGAATTTAATTATCCCATTTCTTCATAAGTTAACAAAACAAAGAGCACTCTTTGGAATCATTCTTACACCAGTAGGTGGCAGGAGGCACTCATTACTCACACAGTTTTTCTGAGTGCTAGTTACTGTCACAACACAGCCAGATGACGTCAGGTTTGATTTAATTAGTGTTTTTCTTGGTAATCAATTGCACTATTAATAAGTGCATAAATTAAAGTACAGTGTATCTGTAAGGAAAAATATTGAGAAAATAGGTTTGGGGTGGGAATTACATTGAATATGGCTGGTACTGAATGAAATTGAATGTACCGCCTCAAAGAAAGTTTTCTTTTCCTTATCTGTGTTTCTAAAGGACTGAGTGGGCGTATAAAATCCGTTATTCATAGAAAATGCAGTGTACAGAGAGATAGCTCACCGATATCGACAAATCGGCGAAGTGAACTGAAAAAAAAAGAGAAGAAAAAACAGATGACAACTCTAAAGGCAACAGGGGAGGTTAAAACCAGCAGAGGGCAGCTAAGTACTGTTTTTTTCTCTTTATTTTTAAATAGGTGTAGATCTATACACAGTCTGCACCCCCACCCCCCACAACAACAACCATGAAGTGTATGATATGTGATTACTGCAGGGGGGGCGACAGATATAGATGGTACAGGCCTGACCAATGCAGTGTTTAGGATGATGCAAGTTGCCCTAAAGCATGAAGGCTGTTGTTGGTATTACCCTGACTGCATAGTCAAGGTGAAAGAGGCGATTGCAAGCCATAGCGGAACGAGTCCCCTGAGGACGAAAATAGATGAATCTGGATCCTTGCTGATTGCCAAACTAGAACAAGTTGGGAAAGAGATCCTTGCTAAGACTGAGGAAGTAGCCTATAGAATGGAGGTAGTTGCTAAGAGGAGTTATGCTGAGGCCTTAGCAGGGCCATGGGAGGTGGTGGAGAGTAATGCAGGATCAGAACAGGTTCTACAGCAGCTAGGGACTCTGAAGAAGTGTGTCGAAGAAATGGCAATTAGCGGACATACTGTTAGGGGAGAGGAGGAACAACGGGAACAATGTAATAGTTTTTGGAGTCCCTGAAAGGCAGGCGGATGGAACTGAGAGTAAGATAACACATGATAAGATGCAGTTTAAGAATATTTGTACAGAGGTTCTGAAGATGCCATCAATCCCTCAGGATGTGAGGAGGAGAAATGGGAGGTTATTCGGCAGGCAAAAAGCTTAGCAAGGAGTGAGGCATCTCGGAGTGTATTCATTCACCCAGATCGCACAGTAATGCAGAGGGAACAGCACAAGAAGCTCCTGCAGGGCTTGAAGCAGAGGAGGGAGGAGTCGAGGAGGAACGGGGACGGGTGTACATTGGTTATATTCAGGGGGAGGGTAGTGGAAGCAAGTGTGCCGACACAGAGCCAGGGAGCAGTAGTGCACCCTCCACCCGCTCTACCCCCCACTTGGGAGGTGGCACCAGCTCCGCCTACCAGCCTGGAGGAGGCGAGCGCCGTGTAAACAATGACATTTCTCACCACACCCTGCAAAATACAGTGTACTTAGCAAATATTGCAACTTCTGAGAATGTAGGGGGGCCTGGAGTTACTACTAAGAGCAGAGACACTAATACTGACTCGTTCCTTGATAAGAGAGAGGAGTTTGAAACACTACTGAAGGTACACCAACCCGATATTGTAGGAGTTGTAGAATTGTTGTATAAAAACAGGAGAATCAACCCAGAGGAATGTGAGTTTAGTATTGCTGGATATGACTCATTTATGAACCTTTCTCAAGAAACTTGCAAGAGGGGTGTGGTTATCTATGCTAGGCAAGACCTTAGAGCCAGCCAGGCGAGGGTACAGGGAGAGGATGTTTTTGAAGAGTCCAAGTGGTGTAAAATTCAATTAAAGGGAGGGGACCTACTTATTGTTGGGTGTATCTACAGATCCCCAAACTGTGGCCCACTAAATCAAAGGAACTTAAGAGCCTTAATAGACAATGCAGCAATGCTCAACCCTAGCCACCTCCTTATCATGGGGAATTTAACTATGGCGACATCGACTGGAGAAATGAGTTCACCCCAAATGATTTGAATAACCCTGCTACTCTTTTTGTAGAAACTGAGAGATAATTTTCTGTTCCAACATGTTAGAGACCCGACACATTACAGAGGGAAGCAAACACCCAAGCCACTAGACCTCATCATAACAAACGAGGAGGGTATGGTGGCCAAACTGGAACACCTTGCCCCAGTTGGCACCAGTCACCATATAGTGGTGTCATTCAGATTTAACTGTTACCTAGTTCAAGATAAGGCCAGGCCAAGGTGCAAATATTACATGGGAAATTACAACAAGATGAGGGGTATCCACTGGCCTGACTCATTAAAGCACAAGAACGCAGACACTATGCTGAATATCATAACTAGTAAAGTGACCCATTTGATCGATAAATATATACCCAAGACCAAACCCAGTGCCTCTAGGAATACTAGGGGATCCCTGCACATGAACCATGCGGCGGTCGACAAAGTTAAGAAGAAAACCCAGAAATTCAAGATGTGGGTTGGGTCAAACGATAGCAGGACAGGAGAATGTATGCAAGAGCCAGAAACCAAGCACAGGCAGAGTGTAGAAGGGCTGAAAAGGAGTTCCAGAGGCTGGTTGCAAGTGAGGTCAAGTCAAACCCAAAGGCGTTTTACCGCTATGCAAAGTCAAAATTAAAAACGCGAGCAGGAGATTCTGACCAGGATGAAGCTGAGTCATTGAACAGCTTCTTTTCCTTGGTGTTCACAAGAGAGGATGCAATTTACCTTCCTGCGTTTGAGGACAGACGGTTCGACACAACACTGACCCACATTGTGTTCACAGAAGAGGGTATTGTCAAAGCTAAAGGTCCATAAGAGTCCTGGCCCTGACATGGTGCATCCCAGAGTGCTAAGAGAGTTGTGCAACGATTTTGTTGAGCCTCTGAAGATCCTGTTTTTTAAATGCCTGGATGAACAAAAGGTCCCCAGTGATTGGAAAGTGGCTTATGTGAATCCTATCTTCAAGAAGGCAATCGTCACTCCACGAACAACTATAGACCGGTGAGGCTGACCAGCATAATATATAAAGTACTTGAGAGTATTATCAGAGATACCACGATGGAACATCTACTACGAAACAACCATGTAAAAGATTGCCAACACAGTTCTATGCCGGGGCGCTCTTGCTTAACACAATTGCTCAAGGTATTGGATATTTGGACCCATATTCTGGAACGGGTTGGTAATATCGACAATACTGTATATACCTAGATTTTGCCAAGGCTTTCGGCAGTGTACCCCATGAAAGGCTGAAAATCAAACTGGAAGGGTACGGAATTCGGGGAAATGTCCTAGCGTGGATAGAAGACTTTCTACATGACCGCAAGCAGTGTGTGGTGATTAATGGCACGAAATCATCATCCGTACCTGTCACAAGCGGGGTACCACAGGGCAGTGTATTGGGCCCGCTGTTGTTTGTTTGTTTCATAAATGACATGCCTGACGTTGTACAATCCTCCATACAAATATTTGCCGATGACGCCAAGTTATTTTGGAAATCAAGAACCATGCGGACTGTGAAGAGCTGCAGAAGGATCTCTGTGATCTCCAAGAATGGTCGAAGAAATGGGTGCTGAGATTCAATGTCACGTAGTGTAAGAGGATGCACCTGGGGCGTACCAAGGGTAAGGAGGCGTATCATATGTCTGGTAAGGAGGCGTTTCATAACACAGCTTGGCCTGGTAGAAGGAGAGTTAGGGGATGCAGTTACAGGGACAATCTAACTTGTTGACCTGCCAAGTCAACACACACACAAACACATTCACTTCACACACATACACACCCATACTCTTCATTTTTCTTATTTTATAGCAACATGCCATCTCCATGGAGATGTACTGGAACATTTATACAGTATTACCGTTTAATTTATATTGAGCTATTTTATATGCATTTGACTCAAATTTAACTCAGTGTACAATAAAGGTATTGTTTACTGAAGGAACTGGCAACTTAGTTAAGCTTTGATGAGTGTTATCTGCGGCTATGGAACCTAACCCCTTATTTTTCATAAGCCTTTATTCGTGCCAACGTCAGGTTTTTTCAGGAACCAAACCCCCGCAGATGGCGAGGGACGTATTGTTGAGTTTAAGAAATGATTGACATTTTGATGCTTTTGCATTGCCTTGTACTGTACTGTACTTTAAAATTCTATATAAATACTGTAACATGAAAACTTTCATCCTACATTTCAGCTGCTCCTGAAGAGATGTACTGGTTGAGTCACCTAAACCAAGAAGACCTGTGTGAAAAATATGTTGGTCTGAGGGATGATTTCTACACACTAAAGAAATTTTCTTGCAAACAAGAAGACAAAATAAAAAAGTAAATTTCAGCTTTTTCATAAAATTTTATAGTACTCTGTTAACCTTTTCAGCAGTGAGTTGCACAAATACCGTACTGTATTATTTCTCCTTGTAATTATAAATATTTTGTTAAATTTATAATGTGTATAAAAGTTTCATCATTTTGTAAGATAGTTATTTACAGCAAGAATGTATTTAGATAAAGATAATAGATCTTTAAGTAACTTTGCTCTTATGAATTTGTAATACTGTACATGACTGGCTTCCAGATCACATGAACCATGCATCTTGTGTGGCAGCATTATGTTAATGTTAAGGTGCAAGTACTGCTTGCCTCCTCTCGCTTTCAGCTACCACCGCTGGCTAGCCCCCGTGGCAAACAGGGAAGCAACTTGCATAAGTCCTCCCCTGCCAGTATACAGCCTCTTCACCATCAAGACTTCTGCTGCTGTGCTTCCTCGTGGTAACACACAGTAACTGGGTGCCTCGTGGGCCCAAGCTGGACCAGCAGGGGACTTCGGAGCAGCAGTGGGCCCCAGAGGGATGGCGCATAGGCCCACTGACATGTGGACACGTCTTGGCGCCTACCAACCATTGCTCCACTGCCTTGCGGATTAACCTTTGTAGGTACAAGGCCACGGGAATAAACTCCAAATGAAAAATCTGCTGTTGAGCCCTACAACAAGCAGACATGCTTATAGAGCTCCAGTAAGACCCAATGGCAGTACAGTAGAACGTCGATTTAAAGTGATTCAATTTAAGATTATTGATTTAAAGCAACACCCACAATTAAGGACAATGTTTTAATTTAATGCGAATCTTTCCTATTTTGTGCGAGTCAATCTGGCGCATCATATTTTAAAATTTGCGCCTAATGTTTCTCTGGGCACCCTACACTGTCCTAAGGGCAAAGCTCTACTTGTACTGTACATGTACTCAAAATAATGCACTAAATGATTACTAAAATTTTTGTCTAGTGCAAACTATAGCATGATTATATTCAAATTAATCACTATCTAATAAGAGAATTCCAGCAATGCACATTATATTCTCCCCGGTCACTTCTGTGACATTTTATAAACAAAAAACAAAAAGTCAATCTAAAGGACATAAATAAACAAATAAATACTTCACTCGACCTTCGGCCCCAACTGTCAAACGTGTCACTGTCACCTCCCCTCCCTCCCCCATCTTCCCAGCCAGGATTGGGTGGTTATAGGCTGACAGTTTTTATCTTATATAATATCACAGACTAAAGTTAGGAGAATATAATTTTCATTGCTAGAATACTTGCAAGACAGTGAATAATTTGAATATAAACGTCATATATTTTGCAAAAGAGATAAAAATTTTAGCCATGCATAATAAGTTTCCTAATTAGTACTAAAATTTGTATGTCTAATGCGAACTATTACATGTTTATATTCAAACTAATCACTATCTTATACGAATTCCAGCAACGTTAATTATATTCTCCCATGTCAGTTCAGTGGCATTTTATAAGAGAAAAACTTAGACACTCTTAAGGATAGATAAATAAATAAGCACTAGACCTTGGCATCAACTGTCAAACATATCACCTCACCTCCCCAATCTTTCCAACAGCTGATCGCTCATAAGCAGACCATTTCACTTCCCCTAATTTTAGCTGTGTTGATTTATGAGTGTTTGTTTTAACATAATACAGGTACTACAAAAAACAATGTTTTGTTTATTCTAGGAGATGGGCTGAGGTGCATCTGGGTAGACTCAGTCTTTTTAGTATTTTGTGTTTCTCTCAAGTACCAAACTAAATTATTCCATTGAAACATCACTTCGATTTAGTGCGAATTCGGTTTAAAGCGACCTCTCTTGGAATGTATCTAGTGTTATATTGACGTTCTACCGTTATAGGTGAAAGGGGTGACCACTTTGTGAACCCAACGGCGACACTGGCGAATGAAGGCAATGTAAGATGGACAGGCTACTAAGGTGAAACCCAACAAACTGGGCTATTGGCAGTCCATTGCAACTCTCCCTCTCCCCAGTCATTGCAACACTTGCACCACTGGATCAGGGAAAGGAAGAGCCAAGATGTGTGGTTGCCGACTGCGCTCCTGCCTCACCACGTGAATTAACTCAAGCAGGCATCATCCACCTCATCATACTTCTCATCATCAAAGACCCTATACCCCCAAAAGTCCCATGGCGATGGACGAGTGGTGACGAGGACAGGCAGAGATAACTACCGGGAGTCTCAAGTCACAACTCTGCACCTGGGCAGCATAGATAAGATGGTTGTTTATGTACTGGGATCTAGGCAGCAGTGCACTCCGGTCCTGTCTGTGCAACTGAGCAGCCCTTTCAAGGAGCCACTCTGCTCACCTCACATTGGGAGGGGGCTAGAAAAGGTGCCCTAAACATAGCCTGCCTAAAGAAACAGCCTGAATGGGCAATTGCACCCAATAAGGTCATCCTTATGCGGTCAAAAACACAGTCATAATCACAGATCAAAACAAATACAAATTATACAACCTCTTATGGTCGCTGCATGGAATGTCAGGACCCTCCTGGATACTGGCACAAATGAGCGTCCTGAAAGAAAAACCACCCTTGTGGCAAAAGAGCTGGTTAGGTATAACATCAACATAGCAGCCATTAGTGAGTCCCGGCTCCTTCCCCTTTTTTACAAGTGGAAGGAACGATAGCAGAGAAGGTGGATGATTGTTTATATTTTGTTTCCAAAATGTGTTGATGTATAGATGACAGGCACTGTAATGGGTTTGAATGTTTTGGTTCATATGGATGAGGGATGATGGTTTGATTTTCAAAGTATTGATCATTACGGTACAGTATATAGAACTTATTTCACCTCACTCACAGCTGTCACTGGAATGTTACTGAAACATAAATGATATTTAGAAATAATTTCATGGCAAATTTATGCACCACACAACTCTTTATCCCGAACCATTTACAGTATCCATCTATTGTACTGTAATTGTAGTTCTTTTACATTATACATATGTTCATTTTAGGAATATTTGGCATTGGCTTGCATGATGATCATTTGTTTCACATTTATTTGTAGTTAAATTGTTTTTTAGATCCATGGTAATTACCCACAATGCATCAAATGAATTACTTTGGAGCAAACAATAGTTTATTACATAGTGAATATCTTGTAAAGGTGTAACTTGATATCTGTTTCAGGCTACAAACTAAACTACGAAAATTTATTGCGGACAGAAAGAAAGTTGACATGACGAAAGGAAGCACATCCTTTAGTACTCAAGAGATAGAATATCAGGATGCTTTAGAAACTCATCGTCACTCCATCAGGGATCTACAGTTGAAAAATGATCATCTGGAGGTAAAAAAACAATGTTATAAGACATTCTACACAATGAAAAATCAATATTCATCCTGTGTTCACAATAGTTCACCAGGCACTCATAGATTCACTAGGACATACCTTTATTCTAAACCCAATTAGTCAGTGAAACTTTTGGAATTTGGAGTCCAAATGTTTAGAAATTTCACTTGTTTCTCAAACTCCAGATACACAGAAGATTGGCTCAATGACAGACAAGGTGGTTAATTGTTTCACATTTGGGGAATCACCATATTTAATCTTTGCTTTATTGATGTCATGTCTAATTCCCTTGGATATCTTGCCAGATAAGGGGACACAGTTCAAGGCTGTTAGAATAGAGACAGGAGATGGGCCTCTCTCTTTTGTTCCAGTTTTGCTGATAGGCGGAGCAATTGAATATTGACCACTTGGTGGTTGGTCTCCTGGGAACTACTAAATTTTTTATGCTTCAGTGGAATACTGTATATCCATTTAGCTACAGGGAATTAATGAGGAGGATGAATTGACAGTGTCCAGACACTTACACGCAGCATTAAGGCTACTGCACTGTTTAAGCAATCTTCAGCTCAGTCTGCAGCTCTCATAATTTTGACTGGTACAAACAATAATAGAATTACCAAATGTAAATTTCTTTACATCTGGTTTTTAGTTCCATAGCAAGTTAATTAGTTTATTTATTTCACAGAAAAAGTTGAAATTAGCAAGCATTCAACTGAGTACTGCAAAAAAGAATAAGCCCTTGTTGTTTCGTCATGTGGGGCCAAGAGTTGACAGTGGACGAAAGCAAATACGTACATCAGTCACCCCACAAGTGAGGCAGCCTCCTCAACCTAGTTCTTCACCTTCAAAACCTGTTCATCAACCAGACCCTGTAAGTCTTTTTTGAATTTTAAACACATCCACACTTTTCTCAAATCAATATTATACCATTCATAATTTTCTCTAGGAGTTTTATTGAACACCCTTCCATTTTTTTTACATTTGTGCTTCCTCTTTATTACAGCCATTCTGATGTTCATATGGAATTCATTTTGAAAGGCAAGGACATTAGAGTGAAGAGAGTAAGAAGTAAAGTCTGTAGTATAGAAAAATGACCACAGTATACACCAAAAAAATTACAGGATTAGTCCTGAAATCTCATTTTATGACTTAGGCCAAAGTTCATGAACTTGAGTATGGTACAGTATTCACCTTCTATGCTAGTGGTCTGTAATTCAAAAGACCATGACATCAGTAGCTGTTACTAATCTAAACAAGTAAATCTTTCCCAAAACAACAAAACTCTTAAAAAGATTAGAGGTTCAGATTTGTTTTTATGACAAGAGGAAGATCAGATTGAACATTCTTCACCTTATGCACAAAGTTGGGGGCTTTATTGGTGAGGGATCTCATGTTTGAGAGTGAACTTTAGGGCAAGGATTGTGAACTCTTGGAATAACCTGCCAGAGATCGTTGTGACAACAGCGAATGTGAGCTCATTTAAGACCAGACTTTACCAACACTGGCACATGTTCAAGTACATTCAAGCTCCCATACAAGCCCAGTATGGTACTTGCCAACAGCTCATGACAGGTAATATGCTGGCCACCTGACCAGCTAGTAAGCTGAAAAATAGCAAAAAGGATAAAGCAAGGTTAAATCTGGGATTTAAGGGCTAGTGTTGCTTCTCGGGAGATTACTTAAACAGATTAGTGTAAGCCATTAATATTAAAATTTGGTTTGTTATAGTGAATTCCCGATATTTTTATTTTGTCAATAGAGCATATCATACCCTGCACCACAAGGCCTGTATGGAGCTATTTCATACAGTCTTTAAACATTACCTTATACTGTATAGATATAACCACCATCCCTAGTAAGTACAGATGTAAAGTAATTTTACATTTTTACTTATTACAGTATATGATTACAGTACAGTAGTCACAAAAATATCTCATAGATATTGAACTTAGTGAAGAACGTTAACATAACTAGGTTGTGAGGGAGGGAGGGCCAGGTTGTAACAGGAATGGCGAGCAGTAAAATTTACTCTGTCAAGCAGTGTTTATTGCACTTAATACAGCTGTTAGTTTTTGGTAATTTAAAACAAATATGCATGAAAACAATATTTGTCCTATACATGCTTGTATGTATTATAGATACTAAATGTCATGAGCTGTGTCATGTCAAGTGCCAAGAATATATGTAAGCAGAGTACTGTAAATGCTTTACTCTCTTCACCACTAATGGGTTTGTTAGCTACTTGGGCAGTCAGTCACATCTCTCTTACTCACTATAGGCAAGTACTGGGCATGTACTGGCTTCAGAATGTATCTAAACCTGCACCAGTGATGGTCAAGTCTGGTCTTGAATGAGTTCACACTCAGTGCCGTCACAACACACTCTGGTAGACCGTTCTGAGAGTTCACAACTCTCTCTCCAAAAAAGTTTGCCCTGACAAATTTCTGAATTTGTGACATTGCTGGCCATCAGGAGGGAGGAGAGACAGGCAGCTGGCAGTTAACCTGTAGTGTTTCAAAAAATTTTCCCTGTATATTGTACTGTATGTGTTAATTTTAAGTTTCAACAGCATAAAAGAATAAATTTAATGGATATATTTAGTGAGGTTTTAATGTAGAATCATCGCGTCTTGGGACAAAATTTTCTTCCGTAGGGCAAACTTTTTCGGAGTGACAGTTGTGAACTCTTAGAACAATCTGCCAGAAAGTGTTGTGATGGCACCGAGTGTAAGCTCTTTCAAGACCAGACTTGACCAACACTGGAGCAGGTTCAGGTACATTCAGGAGCCGGTGCATGCCCAGTACGTATTTGCCAACAGTGCGTAACAGAGACGTGACCGATCACCTAAACGGCTAATGAGCCGATCAGTGGTGAAGAGGATAAAAGTAAAAGTAAAAGTAAATAGTTTTCTCTAAATATGATTTCAAGAAGTGTAAAACTTTTTAGGAATGTGTCTACAGGTATTTTGTAAAAAGAATGATAACTTGTTTGAGCTAAAATGAAGAAGACTTAAGATAACATACAGTAGTATTGTTGAGAGAATTTTTTTGAGTATGGCAGACACTTCTGTGATCTCAAGAGATTTGTGATGAAATGGTAAAGGGGCATACTGTACATATTTTTTCTTCTTCAGAAATTAGAGAGGTGAGATGCCAAAGCTTCACTGGAAGAGTAGAATGGAGAATTATTGTATTACTAAGTGAAGTTATCAGATAATAGGTAATCAGAACTATTCAATGCCAAAACTAAGAGACCAAAATTTGAGGGTAAAACTATTATTTTATTAAAGTACAAATTTAATCAATGTTTTTCCCAAATTAATTAAAATTTATTTATTTAGGTGTTACCAGAAAAAATCCGTGAAATCCTAGAAGAAGCAAGAGGGAGAATTCTTTCTTTAGAAGCTGAGAGAGATGATCTTCAGGAAGAACTTATTGAGAAACAACAGGTACAGTAATGTTATGTGGTAGGGTTACTTTATAGGGAGGCACTGAATACAACCACACACTATCTCAAAATAACACTATTACAATGAAGCATATGACAATACTGTATGTGTAGTCACTGTGACCCTCTTACATGTCATGTCCCAAGCACTTAACACATTGTCCCATACTCAAATAAAATCTCAGAATGTATAAAAATGTTACAGCACTTCAAAGGATTACCACCGAATCATTCTCATGCTTAAACTGCCAAAACTCTGCATTTTTGCGTCAATCTGGAACTGACACATCACAGACAAAGGGTGGTGGGCACTGGTGTGGCGAGGGTGGGGGGTAGGTTTGAGTGGGGCGCACTCGGAAGTCTAGCCCCAAGCGGTATGGTCTCGCTACGCCACTGGTAATGGTTAAATTCTATGGATTTCAAATTCCTGCAAAGGCTGTTTTTTCTATGCATCTATCCCTGTAGCCATCATATGTAATTGATAATGCTGGCGGACGGTACAAGACCACACAACACTGCAGAGAAATTGACAAGTTTCCTGCTTGATGTGATATTTTATGCACTGAATTAACAGATCTTGTAGCAGTCCCTGGAACAAGAGGGTGTCATCTCTATAATGCTCACTTTTATCAAAGAACTACTGAGTCTAGCTTTAATTTTGTAAATGTATTATCTCTTTAATGTGTTATTTATTTAAATAATACAGATTTTCTCTGTCTTACAGGCATATGAAGATGCAGAGTATGATCTGCAACAAGAAATAGCTATGATGAAGGACGAATTGCAGGATCGCGGAGTGCGTGAAGAAAATGACTCTGTAGCAGTTGTATGTGCTGAACGTAAAACTCGCACTCTTTCTGCTCGCAACACTGCACTTCACGAGCAGCTGGTAATTACAGAGGAGAAAGTTGAAGCAGAAAGGACAAGAAAGGAGGCTCTACAAAATGAACTTGGTAAATGTAGATGAAGAAATAGTCAATTAAATCTTAACACTGTACTCTATATACTGTATATCTGCTTATCAGCTTTACCCCATTTTCAATTAAATGGTAGGAGCAGGTGCTATAAGTTCAACCCCCCCCCCCCACTCAAAAAAAAAAGTATTCTTAGGTCAATTCAGTGTGAAAAAATTTCATCAAGACTTTAAACTACTTTATGTCTTTATGAATCTCCACTGTACCAAGTTGATTTATTAGTGAAACTTAAATCTTTATTCATACAAAATTTTCCTCCATTGTAATACAGTTTGGTCTTGCTATATTTTAACTTTCCTTACTGATATACATATAGAGTTCTAGACCTTAATAACTGTTAGTGACAGCCCACCACTATAGTTTACCATCTTCTCTAACCATAAACATTTAAGGTCAGCCACCCTTGAGTATATGTGCTTGCAAAGCCATTGGTTTATAACCCTGAAGACCATTTATTCATGGCTGGGACTAAAGCAGTATAGACTCCTTTGTACCCCCTTGTATAGACTTCTAGTATAGACTTCTTTGTTGCAGCTATAACCCCCAGAAATGGTTGTTTAAAAACAAAGGTTTTTCCCTTATGGACAGGAGAGGAAGGAAACCAGATCAGCAATGACACCACACAAAAACAACTGTACATCTTGCCTTTACATTATTCCTGGTCACTTAGGTGAAGGTTTCAGCCAGCGACAATACAGTAGTTCTGAGCTCATCCAGAAAATAGGATTTCAGGATTAATCATTCATTTTTCACCATGTGGTCATTCATCATTACATATCCCTGATTTTGAAGTATGATTTAATTTTTAGTTTCTCTGAGGACTCTTCTAAAGATACAGTTTCTTAGATTTTCTTCCAATAATCTTTCAAACAAATAAATAGCTATACAGTAATATCTCCATTAGCCGGAATCCCTCAGACCAGGAACTCTCCAATAGCCGGAATTGAAATTTTCTCGGAAAATCATTCCCAAAGCCGGAATTTTCCAGAAAATTCTGGCTTTGCGAACGATTTTCCAAGGGGCACATTTTCCTGAAAATTCTGAGAAAATTTTCCTGGTACCCGGAAAATTCTGGGGATGGGTGAGTTTTTTCCAGGTTTGAGAGATGAAAATCAGGCGCATTCTCTGGAAATTCCGAGAAAAAATTTCTCTTACCTGGAAAATGTTGGAAAATTCCGGGGATGAGGGATATTTTCCGGGTTTGAGAGGTGATGTAATGGGCAATTTCTGGAACTTCCGAGAAAATTTTTCCGTTACCCGAAAAATTCAGAAAATTCGGGGATGAGGTTTTTTCCGGCTTTAAGAGAGTCATCTCGTTACCCAGAAATCTCTGATTCCTGGGAGTGCTCTGCATCAATTGTTCCAGCTAACGGAGATACCACTGTATACGAGTAATTGTATTTCAATACTGTAGTACAGTATTTGTACCTTGATACATCAGACTAATTGGGTCAGGCTCCAGTCTGGAAAATGCGAAAGATATTACTGCGCTTCAACAACTAAGGTCAACAATTACAAAAAATATGAGTGATAGAATTCTCTGGGGTGAAACTCAGACTAAGTCTGGTTGTCGACAACTGTTTTCACTGATATCATTGTTACATACCGTATATCTCGGCCTACAAGACGGAATTTGAACAAAAAAAAAATCAGCCCAAAGTTAGGGGGTCGTCTTAAGCACCAGAGATAAAATTCTTACCTCTTAAATATTGCGGTTTAGCGTGTCAAGAGTGGTGATGGAAACATGGTAAACCACTCACAAGGTCCTACCACTAATTATTTTATACTGAAACTTACATTTGGGAAGCTGGATTAAAATGAAGATTACCGGTATATTAAAATAATAAAAATGTATTATAAACCAGTCTAACATACCGTAAAAGAACAATATACCCCGGTAATAAACACAGCTGCTATCATCACCCCCCCCCCCATTTGCCAGTGACGAGAAAGGGAAAGCGACCTTGACAGTGACCGCCTGTGGCTATTTTTAGCCGTCCTTGTGTTCGGAGGTGGTCAGTAATGCATATCTGTATATTTACTGATCATAATACTTATCTCCTATAAATAATTAATTTAAAATTAATTTTTTTACAAAGAATATTCAGTAAATGACTGCGTTAATTCTTGAAACTACCGACAGTGGTAAATTTAGGATGAGAATGATTAACAGAAGTCACGTCATGGATTCGGAGTTTGGTCCTTAATGATCATAAATGTCTGGTCAACTTCACCTACCAGGTATAATGGTAGCCTTCCTTTTTCGCGAAACAAGTATATAATTAAAGAAAATACTTGCAGTGTGTTTAATGTATTACAATATATTATAGCTAAATAAATAAACAAATAAATCGGCAAATCTATTTCAAGTAAATGGAAATATTTTACTCACACCAACATTAGTTCCAGTTAAATAACTGACGCTTAAGTGAGTCACTAGTGTATACCAGCGGGTAAAATTTGATGCCAATACTTGAAGTGAATTGGCATTATTTTAAATAACCAACCATAAATAAATGGAAAAAAGATCAAAGGTGAAACATTATATTGTATGTATGTTGTGTTGTCAAAGGAAGAGAAACAATTGAAACTCAGCAATTGTGTGTAAATGAGGCAGTAAGATAAATCAGCAACCTAAGACTTGGTCACAATTTTCGTGATGCCATATGGAAGTAGGATCTACCATTAGACAATACTGTACATTATGCTTCCAATATCTTCCCAGGCGGTAGTATCTCCCTGTTTGGTAGCTGCCTAAAACTTTTAGTAATATTACTTTGATACAACATGATAAATTAGACAAACAATGAAAATAAACAAACAAAAGTTATTTACCAAGACCTTCTCTCTCAGAACAGAGGGGAGATAAGACGGCTATTTATAGCCTGTCTTTGTGTAGGAAGTCGACCACACTAGAAATAATTCATTTAAAATTTATATTTTTTACATAGAATATTCAGTACATGACTGCAATTATAAAATATTGTGAATATATATATATATATATATATATATATATATATATATATATATATATATATATATATATATATATATATATATATATATATATATATATATATATATATATGTATATATATATTTGTGTAATAAATGTATGTAGTAAGTATGTACAGTAATCTTTTTCACTCAAATCCTAATGAAACACTATTGAATTAGAATACTGTAGCTCGCTGAAGCAAGCTTATAAATTAAAGAAAATACTTCCAGTGTGTTTAATATATTACAGTATGATATAAATAAACAAATAAATCGGTAAATCCATTTTAAGTAAATGAAACAATTGTATTCGACACCGACATTAGTTCAAGTTAAATAACAAACTTTTAAGTGAGTCACTAGTGTTTACACTACACCAACCAGTAAAATTTGATGCCATTACTTGAAGTGAATTGGCTTTATTTTAAAAAACCAAGGATGTGTAAACAGCACTGGTCAATGGGATGGTTGGTAAAGGACTACTGGGTCAGTAAGCTCCCAATGGTAAGTGTCACATTTGGGGTACCGGTCTTATACAGCGAATAGGGCTCAAAAGCTACTTTTTAAATGGAAATTTTGGGGGCCGTCTTATACACCCCGTCGCCTTGTAGGCCGAGATATACGGTATTGTAAAGTGTTATCTATAAATAATCACAGAATTTGCCTTATGAATCAAGAGAAAACTGTATACTGTACAGTACGGTACTATAAAAATAAAAATAAAAGTTTCGGGGTATATTGTGTGTGGGAATAAGAGTGATCTCATAGTGCAGGTGGGAGCCCCCCCCTCCCATAGTATCCCTTAACAATTCTTTATGAATTTCACCATAATTTCCATATTTTTAGGTTCATTTGGTGCTGGGTTGATAATATATTATCACAAAATAATTAACACTCCTCAGAATAAACTCACATTCAGTCCGAAATGAGTCATTGTGTCATATTAAATTCCTGGTCATTTGTTTATAAAGCTCAAACAGCTGATCGTCCTAGCTCCTTTACCAGCGCTCTCATCTCTCATGCTTACCACAACATCTGTCTTCAGCACTTAGTAAATAGTACTGTACTGTATTATCATCACCTAATAAATAATTTTGTAGTGTATTTATCAGCACTAATAATATTGTAGTGTTTTATGCATTTGCATATTCCCTGGTTTATTCATTACTGTAATCAGTTGTCGAAATGTACAAGTAGCCATTATGTATCACTCAAAGGCAATAACTAATGTTGTTAGGAAGGTATCTCTGTATTAAGTACAGTACAGTACTTTATGTTATAATGACCCTGTTGTAAGCTAATTTGCTGATAGCTCCCTCTCCAGGAACACATCCTGAGTGATGATTTTATATTAATCATGAAGAATCACACACCATAAGAGGCTGATCATAGGGGAAGTTAATATTGATTCAATAAATAATCATGGCGAATGCGGCAACGTACTCTCCCTTCCCGCCACCCCCAGCTTGTTTACATACATAGTGTCTTGGCTCTCATACTTAGTAACTCTTCTTAGGTCTACATCATATCTGATTAGATCACTGTTTAGGAGTACAGTATACAATATTTTAGTAGTAGTAGTAGTAGTAGTAGTAGTAGTAGTACTAGTAGTACAGTAGTTTTAATGTTACAGTACACATTTATTAACCCTTATGCCCCACATCAGGGGGACCCCTATGTGGACATATTTTTTGGGGGGAGGGGGGAAAATTGTTTAAAACTGGTATTTCAAGCATAAAAGTAGTGCAGTCACTCCAAGTGTACTGTTGTGGTTTGTCTGCACGTGGTCCCTTATGTCCATGACTATGATCTTAATGAAGGGTGAGGAGGGGGGGAGTGAGCGCAATTGTCTGTATCACTGTTCTCACCGCTGGCTGCCTCAGCATACTTGACATCATCTGGGTCTGTTTCCTCCAATCACTGTCTTTGTCACCCAATACTATATCAGTGCCACTCAAATCAAGCGACTCTTGATGAATAGCACTAGTGTCGAGGGAGTGGAGGTGTGAGGCGGGTCATGAGACTTTGAAGGATGTGCATCGATCATGATAGCTGTTGGGTAACTGGACCACTAGACTTGAGACAAAGATTACGTGGGAGTTGAGTTGTCAAGTAAATATATATCTTATACAAAGTACTTTATCCCGCTTGGACATTCAAACTATGACATGAAAATTAAGGGTACAGAGGAACATCATTCAGGATTGCTATGGTGGACATAGAGGAACATAACCAGTGCTTTAATGGTTAAAATATGTACTGTACTCTACATAATTTTACCCATTTCCTAAAACCCTCAAGTACCCCCATTAAAGACAATATGTACTCTACTGTACATAAAAAGATCATGTAAATGATTGTAGGTAGCGAGATGCGGCACACTGATATGATAGGTGTGAAGGCAGGACTCAGAGTGAGACACCTTGGCACAGACAATCAATCGCACATATGAACACGGAAACCGTCTGGACTGATGTTGGATTTTCCGGACTTTAAAATATTTCTGGTGAATAGAAGGAAAGTCTGGTGTATAGAGGTTCTACTGTACAGTATATAGTATTGAATAAATCAGTTTATAAACTTAATGCCATCAGTCATACTTGGTGTGATTGTTATAATATGGACCTAAATGTTGTACAACTGACTCGAACATTTACATTTTGCATTTTGTTATAACAGAAAGAATCACTGGGAAACTTCTGTTAATTGAAAATCAGTTAAGAGAATTGCAACAAGAACATCAAAATACAGTGGGACAGTTACAGCAGGTTACAGAGAAGAAAAACGTTTTACAGGTAAGTACTGTAGAACAGTAGACTTCTTCTTGGAAGCATGCCTCGGTTCAGCCCATCCCAAAGAAGGGTGACCATACCAATCCCTCTAACTATCACCCCTTGCCGTAACTTCATCCCTCTCTTAAGATTTTTTAAATTATTTTACACTCATTTTCTCCGACACCTTGAATGCCTTTTCTCTTTTGTCGGATCACCAGTATGGCTTTCACCAAGTGAGATCTACTGGTGATCTGCTCTCCTACTGCACCTATCTTTGGTCATCCTCTCTTAGGGATTATGGGGAAACTTATGTTGTGGCCCTCGACATCTCCAAAGCATTTGACAGGGTATGGCACTTTGCTTTTTAAACTTTCCTCTTATGGTTTCTCTCCCCCTCTTTGTTTTCTAATTTCTAGCTTCCTTGAGAACCGATCCATGGCAGTTGTTGTCAAGGGATCGATCTGTTGCTCTATCTCTTCCAATAGTGGTGTCCCACAGGGTTCTGTTCTTTCACCTACTCTCTTCCTTCTTTTTATCAATGATTTACTTCACACTCCGACTAATTCCATCCATTCTTATGCAGATGATTCTACTCTTCACTCTTCTTCACATTTTTCCCTTCCCCCTAATTCTCAAACTAAATCTGTTTCTAGAGCTGATATCACTTCATCTATCAATGCTGATCTGTGCAGCAGCTCCGAATGGGGCGGTAGAAACTTGGTTAAATTCAATAGTAATAAAACACAGTATTTACCAATTACACTTTCCAAATTAGATGATGTCCCACCAATTACATTTCAGGACGCAATCATTCTGCCAAATTCTAAAATAGATATGCTATGCCTCACTATTTCCTTTAATATGTCATGGAAGCCACACATCCTCAACATTCCTAAAGCTACCTCCTGAAAGCTGGGAATGCTGTACAGATGCCATAGCTACTTCACTCCTGAGCAGTTGCTTCAAGTTTATAAGGGATTCATTCGTCCTAACTTAGAATACTGCTCTCATATCTGGGGTGGCTCTTCTTCTGTCCAACTGTTAGATAGGATGGAATCAAAGGCATTTCGTCTTATTAACTCTCCTCCTCTAGTTGATAATCTCTCTTCCCTTTCTCTTTGCCGCAATGTTACTTCACTCTCTTTTTTACAGGTACTTTAACGTGTAATGTTCAGTGGATTTGTCATCCTGTGTACCGCTGGCAAGGCCGTGGGCTCATAACACTCGTCTTCCCCGACGGTGCCCACAGTTTCTCTGTGGACGTCGGTCACACTAGAATAACCCGTTATAGTACCTCCTTCTTTCCTCACACAGCCAAACTGTGGAATGTTCTGCCTTCCTCTGTGTTTCCATCCTCACACAATCTGTCTCACTTCAAAAAGCCGGTTTTCTGGCATCTTCGTGGTGTAGATTAATATAATATTTTTCTTTTCTATTTTTTAAATTTCTTTTTACTCATATTTTTTCGCCCCGTTGTGGGTCGATAACCTGTGCCTGGGTGGGCTATTCCCTGTAAAAAAAGAAAAAGAATAAAAGACTAGTTCAGTTGGGAGTGGTCCAGATAAATCAAAGTTCCAGATTGGCGCATAATTATTAAAGCCAACTTCCTCCTGCATGGAGCACCATTGTACCACCACACATGAGTGGATGCTGTACATCTTGATTTGGCCAAGATCTGCTGCCTCGGGGCAGTTGCCTGAAGCCTCCACAAAGATGCTTAGGAAATACAGAACATGGTAAATTTAAAATTGGGCCTGCAAGAAATATATTTCAACAAATGTAGAATATGTCCAAAAGAGTGTGACCCTCCTTACCGCAACTGTTGAGGGATATATCCACCAGGGGTTAAATCACCTTTCTGCAGCAAGTCCTGGGTCATGCAAATCAACAGACCTGAAAATATATGGACTGAGGTATGGTGTTTGTAAGTAAGTGTCTTTGAACTTGAATGTTAAGGCTAGCCATTTCTAGCTTAACCCAGAATTGGTAGAGTCTGTGAAATATGTCAATTAACCATATAAAACAACATATAGAAGAACTGGTATTCATCTCACTCCAAATGATAACATGATAACACTAGAACTGTCCCAACTCTAGCTAACAGATCCTAACATGCTTACTAAAGGGGTTGACACTTAATTTTCAAAGAGTATAAGCATAGCATGGGGAGCCAGGTTGTTGCAGCCATTCTTATGCATTACAGTATCAGCTATAAACTGTTTAAAATGGCAGTACCTGTATTGTCTGGAAATCCTAACTGTGGATAATATATCTTGGCAAGTTTGATGTTTATTGGTTAGACTCTGTTCTAATAAGACTTAGCCTCTGTATGGAAGGAAACATATAAACTGTAGCTGATTAGGCAAGTGAATAGTATGTAAATACTGTAGTACTACTGTACCTTCTTTCAGAATGAAAATAGTCATCTCCAAAAGGAAAATGAACGTCTGACTTCTCTTAATTTAACTTTTGAAAAAAGAGGACTTGCATCTGAAAATGAGTCATTGAAGTCTCAAATTGCACAACTAGAATCAGCTTTACAGGTAAGTCTTCACATTTTTCATGGTCACTCAAGATATTTTAGTTTTGTTGTGAAAGTTCTTCCAGTTACTCAGTTTATAAATTTTATTGTGAAATAATTCTTTATTATTTTATGATTATTGGTCATGAGCAAGTGAACAGTGAGGTATAAAAACCACTAAACACCCTGACTGTATCCTCCAAAGATGGCCTTTAATTTAATGGCAGTTACACTCTAAGCCAGCCAAATGAACTAATTAAGTTTTGCTACAGGTCGTCTTTCTCACACAGTTGATTCAAGATTGATTAAAACCCATTAGGACTATTGGTAAACTCGTGCTCTACTGAGAAATTAAAGTTCTCAGAGTTAACTACATCTGCTAAAGTTCATTAGCTCATGCTTTTCAAACCCTTCTTTCAGTCATAAAGTTGAGTTCATACTCTAACCCCCCCTCATTTACTTGCTAATATCCAGGCCAGTAACATGTATTGTGCTGTATTCATCCATTTAGTCCACCTTCTTGTGATGTATTGTGAGGTTAAGTGCTCAAAATATTTCTTTGTTATATTGATTACATTCCTTGGTCTGAAGTTTCCCACACAATATTTATCACAGTTACCATGGATGTACAGTACATTATCATGTATGGTGTATTCAGATTTAACAGGTTAAGATGCCAAATTGATTTTGTTCAAAGCCTTAATTAATAAATGTACCCCAGCATGTTTATTTTGGCATATTGGTGTATGGAATATACTGTGCTGTACTGCAGGCTTACATACTCTCCTTGTGTATTATACAGTAGACTAACTGAGGTAAATGGCTTCACCTGGGTTATTATTGAAACAAAATCCAGAGCATATCTTCAAAATTGTGGATTGACTTGTGGGTGGGGGATTGTGGTCGGCTCACCCAGCAGGGATGGGGCCCCAAGTCTATGTACAAAATTCATTTATATTTTATTTACAACATATGGATACATATATTCTGCAGGTAGTTTAATAAAATTTAATTTAATCATTTTGGGTATGAAATATATGATAAGATGTACAGTACACCAAAGACCCAGAAAGGTAAGCAATCATTACCGTCTGTTTGGCATCACCATGACGCCTGACTCTGAGGCACTAAGCAGCCTGTGTCTTACCTTTATTCATTACATATGCATATTTACCTTCGTAAAAATTATGATATATGCCATATTCAGTGTATTATCTACCATAAATTTAATGAAATAGATTTTCAGATTTCAGAGCATTTTGGACTTGGGAATTTTGGATAAGGGATACCCATCCTGTATACTATATATATATATATATATATATATATATATATATATATATATATATATATATATATATATATATATATATATATATATATATATATATATATATATATATATATATATATATATATACTGTATAAAAGCAGTTTTATCCCCCCCCTCCCCCCCACACCATATACAGTACAGATATTCACTTTTTGTCTAATTTTTTATTATTGGAAAGGTATGCAGTGACATCCATGGTTAAAAAAAAATGTTTTGGAAGATCCACTTTGGGAATATCCAGGCCAAGTCCAATTTAATATTTATTGTGGGACAGATTCCTGTTACAGTACCACACAATGGATTAGGCTGAGGAGGATGAACAAAGACTCCAGTTTCTTAAATTAATATGTACGGTATTTATTTATTTTTTTTACGGGGATGAGCCCACCTGGGCACAGGTCACTGACCCACATCGGGGCCTGGGGGGCGAAATTGCAATAATAATAATAATTCATAGTAAATAAAATTTTTAATAAAAAATAAAATAATAATGATAATAATAATAATAATTCAGTAGTAGTAGTAGTAATAGTAATAATAAAAATATAGAACCATAAGTACAAAAAAAAAGAAAGATCAAAAGTGAGAAACAATATAAATATGTTGTGTTGTCAATAGTAATTGAGACTCTGCAATTGTGTGTAAATGAGGCAGAAAGTCAGATCAGCAACCTGGGACTTGTCACAATATTCGTGATGCCATATGGCAGCAGGGTCTACCATTAGACAACACATTATGCTTCCAATATCTTCCCAGGCAGTAGTACCTCCCTGTTTGGTAGCTGCCTACTACCTACTATTTGCAAAAAAATGTGCGACTACTGTTAGCCTGAGATTAACTCCCAGTTACCAGACCCTGCCACGTGGAGGCCAGCGGTTCGTCTTAGGGGCCCCATATAAGAGACACGACCGAGAAGAAGTGACGTTACAGAGAGGCCATAGCCCAGGTCACCCCCAGCTCGTACTGTGTATTAAAACACTGTAAATGTGTACTGGAGAGGTCACCAAGGAAGGTCAGCAGCACACCATCCACACCCGCACCTCCCCCAACCACTCATAGTAGCAACTCCTCCACAACACACTGGGCATCAGTGGCTTCCCATCTGCACACACAGTCCTCAGCTCCTCCAACTAACACCTACAGCACCTGTCCTAGTAGCTCCTCACCCAATGCCTCAGTAGTTGGCAGCTTCTTCAGAACTGACTATCTGTACTGCAGGTATAGGGAGTTCTCTTAGTCACCACATCTGGGAAAGCTCACTCGTCTTGGGTGGTGGAATGATGTGGTAAAATGACAGGGTTTACTGAGGCCTGCACCAGCTGCAGCAGTCTGTCCCTATCCTGTTCTTTTCTTCCAAATTTCAAACACCCGATACAAACCCTTCCCGAATAATATGAAAATAATCCCATCGAAACCTTATCCCAAATGGAGCTCAGCATGCCCTTAAAATTCGCGGATTTTTAATTTGCTGACCTCAATTATTTGCAGATAACACCCTGGGTGTACCCAAGAATGTCTAAGGGTAGTTTTAAAGTTGCTGGCATTTTCGTGGCCGGGACGGAGCCATTCATTCTAGAGACAGTAATTTCCTTTACCTGTATTGTGTATACAGTGTGTGTGTGTGTGTGTAGACACACACAAAACACATGCAAATAAATAATAATGGGAAAATCCTCTCGCAAATAATCAGAAACAGGTGTATTAAAAATGTGAGTCTACTCTCAAGTCAACTTCGTGCTTTATTAACGAAGCACGGAGTGGACTTGAGGGTAGACTCAACATTTATAATACTTTGGTTTCTGATTATTTGTGAGAGGATTTTCCCATTATTATTTATTTGTACAGGTTGACAACCCTTTATCCGAAATTCCGAAAACCGAAAAGCTCTGAAAACCGAAAGTTTTTTGTGGAGCAATTTTTTATTTATTTTTTTTTTTACAGGGATTAGCCCACCCAGGCATAGATCACTGACCCACATCGGGGCCTGGGGGGCAAAAATGAAATAGTAATACTAATTATAATAATACAGTCAACCCTCGCTTTACGCGGTCCCACTTTACGCGTTTCGACGTTTACGCGGTACCCTGCCGAACACGGAATGCTCACTTTCCGCGGTGTGTGTACCCTTTTACGCGGAGAGCGGCGCGAGCAGGGTGCGCACAAGGTCGCCCAGTCATCAAAACATTACCGAGTTCTTCACCCGCCACCCACCACAGCCGGCCCAAGTCAGTGATAGTGATAATGATAGTGAGGATATGGACTTATATGGACTTTGAGGGGTTTGACAAAGAGGCCCTGCAAGCCTCTGTGGTGGATAGTGAAACAATTGATACAAGTGATACAGGTGAGGGCCAATAATCTGCCCTCTGCCTCGGAACCAACCCCCCCATCCCCGTGTGCCCAGCCATCTTTTCTACTAATGTAAGTGTTAAAAAACCTAATATTATTGATATTTCTCTTAATTATTAATTGTGTGTGCATACCATCATAAAATTAAGAAGTTATTTTTACTACAACGTACGTATTGTGTCTGAAAAAGTGGAGTTTGGGGGTCGGCCTTGTCTCTTATTTCAATTAATCCCATATGTTATGTTGTTCACTTTACGCGTTTCTCACTTTACGCGGGCCGCCGTGGGTTCAATTGACCGCGTAAAGTGAGGGTTCACTGTAATAATAATTATAATAATAATACCTGTAATTATTCATAGTAAAGACAAATTTTAATTAAAAAATACACCAAAATAAAATCATAATGATAACAATAATACTGTATTAATAAAATAATAATAATAATAATAATAATAATAATAATAATAATAATAATAATAAAGAAATACAAGAATGAAAAAAAGATAAAAAGTGAGTAACACGACCTAGACCTATGAATTATTATTATTATTATTATTATTATTATTATTATTATTATTATTATTATTATTATTATTATTATTATTATTATTATTATTATTATTATTATTATTACAGTTGGTCCTCACATTAAGCGGTCCCGCATTCTGCATTTCACCGTTAACGCGGTGCCTTGCCAGAACCTAACATTCTTACATTCCGCGGTCGCGAACGCCATTATGCGGAGAGCGGCTGGCAAGCCGCGCCATTTTTGGATCCAAACCTCCCGCCATCCGCCATGTTGTGTAAGAGGCGCGAAAATGGTGCGCACAAGGTGATGATGATGGGAATTAGAAGTGGGGGTGGAGGAGAAGGGAGAAGAGAAGGAAGTGGGGGTGGAAGAGAAATCACCCAATGCTTCATGCCATCATTTCACCCATGAAATTTTAAGTTCACTTGGTGTAATTCAAGATTATTTTCCTTAAATCAACACTGCACTGCCCTATATATTGTCAATATGTTAAATAAATTTCAGAATGACCAATAATTGTACTGTAAAAACGTAAAAAATAGTTTATGTTCAAGAGAGCCATAAGCAAGATGTTACCTCCACTGACCAGAGATACAAACTGACGCCTTGGTGGGTGAGTCAAGTGGCTGATTGGCACACCAAAAACTAGTTTCCTGTACTGCAATTATGGTATGTTAAATAAGTGTTAAAATGCCTAAAAATTTTAATATAAAACTTGGATAATTATTGAATAGTACAACCTTCTTGATGTTTATTCAAATGGGAATGAATTTAATCCCTAGAACCGATTACTGTATTGGCAGACTAATATTCCAGCTGGTGAGCAAGCGAAAACATGTTGACATGATTTTGTAAGAATTTCGTTAACGAAATTTTTTTTCGTTAACCGAATTGAAGAATCTTATGGAAGGTAATTCGTTAACCGAAATTTTGTTAACCGAGGCGTTCGTTAACCGAGGGATTACTGTACTGTATTATCTTTGGAATCCAGCTATGACTATGAGTAGGATGTAATAAACAACATATGACTTCTATCTCAGTATACCAAGTTAGGTTCTATCACAAGAGGTGGCTAGTGTAAATCAATTACTTATCTCCAGCACTTGACCATGAACTGGGTTTTCAGGATTTGATTCTTGATTTATACAATATAAATCTTTTGGTCATATTTGAAGAGTTCTCTTGTCATATTCCAGACTATGTTTTATATTTTTCCTTTTTATATGTCTGCAGAGTGACCTGATTGAAAGAGGAACTTTCTTGGAACACATGAACAGTGATAAGGAGGCCCTTGCTAAAGTTGAGGTTGAAGTGAAAACACTAAGGGAGAGAAACATCAAACTTCAAGAAGATTTGGAGGAAACCTCTCGGAAGTTGAATATTTTTTCAAAGGTGCTGTATAAAATACAGTACAGTATAAGTAGGAATATTGTGTGAACAGATAATTAGAAAGATGCTAAAGTACTGTATGTAGGTAAGATGATACACTAATTTACATAAATGATAAATGTTAGAACTTAAAAGGAATGTCATGTAGTGTAGTGACTGATTTAATTTATAATTTTATATAATGAAAAGCAAACTAGATTCTTTCTTTTGTATATTGGGATACTGTATGTCTTGAAAGGTCACAGTAGAGTGGATTGTAACATTCACCTTTGAGTAAAGGCAAACAGGTAAAGAAGGCTCATGTAAGCATATAGATTGAGTTACTGTGGCATGGCTCTGCTCTAAATTGTATAGAAATTTTATTTCTAATAAGTGTCTGCCTGCCCTGTATTTGTTAATAGGAGTGTTGGCACTGTAAACAATACAAGAATTGTTTTACAAAGTTTTATTAACTTGCAAAACTTGTTTATTCTTTCAAGTCTTTTCTCACTTATTACTGGGTGCCCAGAATAAAAAACTAATACTGTAGTACACAAAACTAACATACACACACATTTTCCCTCTGTTTGTTGCTATTCACTTATTTATTCTTACTGCTATACTGTATAGGAATGTTTTGCTTGGGTCTTCCTCATGCATAACAAGGCCATCAGCAGTAAACCCTTTTCCAAAAATCACTGAACACTTTACTCTTCACTAAGTCATCTTCACCAAGTCATCCATACTGTTGCTTCTTAGACATCCCTCCTCCTCACTTTTACTGCATCTTTTACCTAGTCCTTCCTTCTCCTTTTCCCACATACCATCCCCCACTGAGCAATACAAGTCTTGCTTCCTCTTCCCTTTTTTTGGCAGTACAGTACTGTATTTTACTGTATACCCATACCTTGTAAACACTTTTCTGCTAAACTCTTCTTTTATCGCCTTATTTCTCTCATTCATCCTGTTTACCCTTGTTTACATATAATTTTTGTCACTTCTAATCTGCTCCTTCCTTTTGTATTCAAAGTCCATGTTTACATAATGATTTTACATTTATGTTGGATAACTCTAGTTTCCCTAAAGGTTCAGTGAGGGCCAATCCCCATGCAACCAGTGTTAGTACTGGAAGAAACCAGATAGCCTAGAGAAAACCCCACCCAGGATTGAACTCATGACATAGTAATGAGAGGCATGCATGATTCTGCTGTACCACTCACCTTAATAGTTTTGCTGTACATCCCTATCTCTGCATCCTTTGGTACAATTCTGTCTCCACACAATATACTGTACTGAATCTAACTTTTTCCCTTTCCTGATCTGTGTTTTAATTCTTCTATTCTGTATATTGAATGGAAAGAGATTGATTGCTTAAAAATATAGTCTGTCATAGAAAATCCTGTAACTCCTTAGACTAGTGAAGAGTTTGTTTAAGATAAGTCAATAATATGATTATTTTTAGGCTGGGCTACTGGACTTGACAGAAGAGGACCTTACTAGTTCACTTAAGAAACAGAAGGAAGATGCTTCTCATAATATTTCTCTCAAGGTTAGTAAAATATTTTAGGACTTATGTGTGATTTAATAAGTGATTTCCAGATGATGACTATTAAACTTTATCTCCTCCATTTAATGCCAATATGTGGGATGGGGAAGGGAAAGTGATTGGTTTAAATGTATTAAAAATGTGAAAGTCTACCATTGAGTCAACTCTGTGCTTTGTTATTAAAGTTATAACAAAGCACGGAGTTGACTTGAGGGTAGACTCTAACATAAAAATACATTTAGTTGTCTTGTTTCTGATAATTATTTGTGAGAAGATTTTCCTATTATTATTTATTTGGATGTGTTTTGTGTGTCTACACACACACACACACACACACACACACACACGTACAATACAGGTAAAAGAAGTTATTGTCCTAAGGGCAAACACATAAAGGGAATATACATTTCTTTGCACATGAGTAAAATGTAACTCTCCGTCAGCAAATGTGATTCGCGGATTTGGCTATTCGCGTCCATTTTGAGAACCTAACCCCCCGCGAATTTTAAGGACATGCTGTATCTACTTTATTCTTAAGAGTAATCTTTGTACATGCAGTAATCTCTCTGTTAATTGGAATCTTTAATCCTGGAGTTTTCTAATTGCCGTAATTTTTTTTTTTTGCACTCCGAGAAATTCCAGGAAAAATCTCTCCATTCCGGGTATCCAAACGAATTTTTTAGGAATGCATCATGTTCCCAACACAGGGATGCGTGCCGGGTGCGTGAGTAGGTTGGTAGGTTCAGAGTGCTCGTGAGCTACAATTGGCCAAAGATTAAATATAAATAGATTTTACCAATTAACTGAGTATGTATTGTATAATATTATTATTATCAATAATCACAATGTTTAAGGTTATTATATTTTACAAAAAAAAAAAAAAAATAAGTGACAGTAAAAATAACCAATGGACTAGTAAATTTTAAGCCATGGATCGGCACCGGTCCGTAGATCATAGTTTGGGAACCACTGACCTAGGGTATATTGTTTAACCCTTTGCAGATAGTTATCACAACTTACAATCGTGACTGCTGATCAGGTTAATACTGTACTGTATCAGTGTTTTAAAAAAACTGTGAAAATTGATCAGTTTTACCATTGTAGAGAAAATAAAATCCTGGTTCCAAGGAGGAGGAGGTGGGGGGGATGATAAGTAGCTTCTGTTATTGGTAAGTTATGAAGCACCGAAGTTGTGCTTTAAATGTACTGTAATATTAAAATATCGTATTTTAAATATCCACAGATTCATTGGTCAAATCTTGAGGAAAGTCACCATTATCACTAAAATCACTATCACTATGAAAGGGAGGGTCATCCTTGTCTCCCAATTAAAAAATTATAACGCCAATTTCCTTCTGTGTGGGGAGCATCACACAAGTGGAAAATGTACCGTACATCTTGACTCAGCCCTTGTCCACCCAATACTGATGACACCTACACTGCCTCAGGGCAGTTGCCAGAAGCCTCCACAGAGATGCTTAGCAAAAGCAAAGCACGGGAAATATAAATTAGACATGTTTGAAATATTTTGCAACTGTTGCAGGATACAGTATGTCCATAACAGTGTGACCCTCCTTCCCACAACTGTTGCAGGATAAAGTATGTCCATAACAGTGTGACCCTCCTTCCCACAACTGTTGCAGGATAAAGTATGTCCATAACGGTGTGACCCTCCTTCCCACAACTGTTGCAGGATAAAGTATGTCCATAATGGTGTGACCCTCCTTCCCACAACTGTTGCAGGATAAAGTATGTCCATAATGGTGTGACCCTCCTTCCCACAACTGTTGCAGGATAAAGTATGTCCATAATGGTGTGACCCTCCTTCTCCCAACTGATGCAGGACATGTCTGCCAAGGGTTAAGAGAGAGACAGTACAATAATTATCTATGTTATCTTGCATGATATAAAAGGGACAATACTGTACAAGGGAATTAATTCCAGTACTGTATTACCTTTTCGAAAGTCATAGCATTGTTAGATATATCAATAACTAATGTAATCGTACTTTATGCTGATTTTCACTGCATTGTTGTGAGCATCTGACCTATTTTCACATTTGATGCTTTATGTTTTGAGATCCTTTGCACTTTCCTAAAATGATCTGCTGAAATTGTTTGTAATCTTTAAAAAAATTGCAGGAATTTGAAGAAGCAAAACATAAGCATAGTGAACTACAGCTGCTATATAGAGAGAAGACTTTAGAGCTAGAGAGGATTACAGCAACTCTCACCACACACTCAGAGACCTACAAGGCATTACAGAACCAGGTGAGACAGTGTCTTATTATTATATTTTTTATTGGACATTTATGATCTGTAAGTCATCATAAGTGACCTATGAAAGAACACAACCAGTGACCTTCTCTGTACTCCTCAGAGAGGACTCAGAGTTTAATGGCAGATTTGCCATACAACAAACTTAGTGGTTGGATAATGCTTAGCTACAAAGTGCATAATATTTCATTGGTAATTTACCAGTTATCAGTTTATAATTTCCATCTGGTCTTACACCATTCTCAATGTGCTCTTGTCCAGTAATTAATGTATTACTGCATGTTGCTAACTCCTAATCCAATTCATTTTATTGTATACAGTATTTGAAATAGAACCTTTTTTATCCATAACTGGCAACATTTGTTTCTTCTTACTTGACTTCCACATATCTTTTCTACAACTACAGTACAGTCATCACTCTATGCACTCATGGATTGTGCCTCTCATTGATTAAAGCCAAGGCTTCACATCAATTTTGAATTCATAAATCTTTTATTTTTTCTTTGGTATATTAATTTGTCTTTGTACTCCTTGAACCTTGTGATAAAGAGATTTCTGTCTCCTGATTTTAAATTGTTGATGTAATGTAATTACTAACCTTGATATGCTCTTAAAGACCTTAGTTGTTGAAGCTCAGTAATAGCTTTATAACATCAACTTTGTGAACTGATGTCTGGACCTGTGTCTCTTGATTTCTTAGTCTGATTTTCTGATGTCTTAACTCTGCTTGATATGACACAGTGATCTCTCTGATTAATAGTCCTCCCATCAAGTGGTTTCCAGCTGCCCTTTTAGATATTCTTTCAGGGAAGATAAATTGTCACCTAGTGTTTAATCTTAGGATATTTACTATAAAAGTTAGTATGTTAATGATTTTCTTCCTATTGAATGTCTCCAGGTATTATTGTCACTCCCAGTCTTTGTATTAACACCATCCAGGATAATTTTTGTATTGTGTCTTGACAGGGCATTCAAGTGCAACTGGAGATAATTATAAAATAGTCCCTTATTTTCTCCATCAGTCTCTTCTTTATAAGCTTAAACAGTTAGCTAATCTGTCAGTCAATCAAGGTGTCATTTTCATGTCTGAGGGTTGGTGACTACAGTATGGCTCTCCATTAAAAAAAAATTATTTTAGCTGCTTTTACCAGCCTTTCCAGATTTTGCATTTCTTTGGGAATTCGACTATTAATTCAATTTATCCATCCCAATCATTATTGGATCTATGATAATCCACTCATTCCTAACTATATGAAGGCAAAATAATATACACATGGATTTATCTTTTTCTTTAAGGATCCAATATTTAAAATTGTGTTTTAACCAATTTTAAGACAATACTTCCTTATTTATTTCTCTCTCTGTGTATAACTTCTCTTTAGTATTCTCCTGTAACACCATATTTTGAAGTCTTCTAACCTCATTCTGGTGTCTGCTGAAAGTGTCTACACTTCTGACCCTTACAGTATTATTGGCTATACATTGCACTTCAGCAGTGATTGTTCTCAGACTAAGATTTATGTCATTTTTTTTGTAGTAAATCAAAGATTATTAAATTATGTTTTTGGTTGACATCAACTATCACATTTGGTGGACTAATATTAAAGTGCTTGGCACTGATCCTCACCTTCTTGATTACTTGTTCATTCCCTTAAATTCCATCAACTATTTGCATGCCATGTTATTTATTGCAAATGCTGCTACTTCAAGGAAGTCATCTGTACAATTATCATACAGAATTTTGTTTTCCTTCTCCTTTTTGTTTGATAGGGCCAAGACTAAGCATGATAAGAATATGCCATTCTCTAATTTTTGTGTTTTATTTCATACCAGTTGTCTGCAGTAGCTCTCTTTGAGTTCTAAGGCCTTGCAGAGTTTTGTCATATTTGAATATTTAAAATTTTGGGACCTGAGCTGCAAAGTTATTCTCAAGTCAGCTCAGCCTACTCTTAATTATAAGGGACGAATCTAACTACTGTTTTTACTTGTACATTCTTACCAGGGTGTTCACCAATTTCCTTCCCAGTTGAGGCACTTCACAGAAGTTTATTTCTACTTTGCAAAATATCCTATGGCTCAAAACCTCTTCTTTTTCTATGTACAGTACTGTACTCAACATTGATGATTTGTTCTGTGCTGATCCTTTTATGGTCATTCCTTTTATTTTTGTCACCACTTATACCTTTTGTGTTGCCCTCACAGCAGTAGTCCTCATTAGTACTGTATATAACTCATGTACTGCTTCTAAAAACTAATTCAAATTTCAATTTAGGTATCTAGAGTTGCTCAAGAATCCCAGGAAAAGGAAAAAGATTTGTGTTTGTCAATCAAGGGTTTACAGGAGACAATCAAAAGGCGTGATGAACGCTGTGAGAAGATGGAACATCAGATACTAATGATCACCGACAAGAGCCTGAAGGAGAAGTTGGATGGCCTGGGCCATAACCTTACACAGACTCTAAACCTCGGCAAACATGATAATGTGCTACAGTTTCACATAGATAAAATAGTATTTGAAGGTCCTGAATTCAGCCAATTAAAAACATTTGCTTCTTGGACAGTTCCATTCTCGTTGGAAGATCCTTTGCAGCATACAAATGTTGCCATTGGCAATGATGCTCACTACAATTATTCAGCACTCTACAGGTTTCAGATGAACTATAGAAATCTTGAGTCATTGCGAGAAGATAATGTCACAGGTAATGTTATCAGAGACTGTTGTATTCTTATTATGTTTTTACCCCCCCCCCCACTCCAAATTTATGCTGACATGTGTTACCATCACTCATGCTTGTCATTTCCTTGTCAGTCTTTCCTTCCAGTTGTCCTTTAGTCTGTTTATCATCATCATGTCTCAGGGAGGATTTGCTGTAGCCCCTTCAAATTCTTATTATGGTTTCAGCTAAATAACCTTTCAGATGAGTTTGAAGATTTATGTACTCACCTCCATTGTCTAGGGCAGTGGCTATTATTGGTAAAATGGACTGAGTGAGTATTCCATTGCTTCATGGTGGCCTTATGTTAAATATTAAGCTATCAATATATGAATAGCAAATCTGCAACCTTCTCAAGTTTATTGTGATGATGTGATTTGACTTTTCTAATTTAATGTTTAACATAGGGGCCCATGTCATTATGGCAGCTAAGTCTAAAGGGTTAGTATCCAGACTAATCCCAAACAGTAATGGCTGGGGGCTACTCACATGTTTCTCTATAATCTCCCTACATAACCAGAACCCAAAGCAATGGTTCCCAGAAAATAATGGCTATCATTCAAGCTCACAGTATAAGGTTGTTGTAGGCATTGCATGTTCTCCAGTAGCTTTTTCTCGGTTACGTTAGTTAGATGGTAATAAGAAAAATAATCCATGCCCAGTCCTTGCCATTCACTGAGTTGCTGCTACATTTGGATTCAGATAAATTCTTATACAGGCGGCCCCCAAGTTCGCGGATTTTTACTTCGCAGTTCTCGGTTATTTGCGGATGACACCCTGGATGTACCCAAGAATGTCTGTGGGTAGTTTTAAAGTTGCCGGCATTTTCGCGGCTGGGACAGGGAGCCATTCGTTCTAGAGACTAATTTCCTTTACCTGTATTGTAGATATATGTGTGTGCAGACACACACACACACACACACAAAATACAAACAAATAAATAATAATTGGAAAATCTTCTCACAAATAATCAGAAACAAATTTATTAAAAATGTGAGTTTACCCTCAAATCTATGCTCTATTACAGGACTTTACTAATAGAGCACGGACTTGAGGGTAGACTCACATTTTTAATAAATTTGTTTCTGATTATTTGTGAGAGAATTTTCCAATTATTGTTTATTTGTATGTGTTTTGTGTGTGTGTGTGTGTGTGTGTCTACACACACACACACACACACATATATATACAATACTACAAGTAAAATAAATAATTGTCCTAAGGGCAAACACAGTATGTGAGAGTCAGTCAATCCAAATTTGTTGTAAATTGGAATTTCAGGATCAGTCCCTCATTTACAAGTGACACAGTGGAGTGAGCAATTCATATATGCTATTTTTATATACTACAAATATGTTTTTAATTTACAGTATATATAAAATACTTAATTCTTTGTTTTATGAATAGTGCTGCTTTATGTAAGACCTTTCTTTTGAGTACATAATGCTCTATACATTACCAGCATACAGCTAAGGTCAGACTTACTTAATGCCCCACTTCACTAAATGACACATTTTTACTCAGCATAGAGACTGTGTAATTGAAAGACAATAGCTTCATTTATAAGATGTCTGATCCAGCTTGCAGAAATTTTTTGTAGATATTTAAAAAAATACTGCTTCATTGGTACAGTATTAGCATAGTTGATGTGCTTAAGGACTAAAATGTTCTCTATCATGCATCTGTTACCATGTAAAGAGGAATATGGTATTGAGCTTAATTACAAATCTCATCATATGTGAAGCATTTTTGTTATGATTTTCTTTATGTATTTATTCATGTAAATGATGTTAATTATATGTTGCAGTGTCTGTGTATATTCTTTTGGATTCTGGCCATCCAACCAAAATTGGTGAATGTCAGTTAACATTTTGTGAGGTTCTGGACTATCCACGCAACACCCTTCATGGCTCTGTGCAAGTTTTGGTGTCCTATGATGATGCAGAGGAGATGCAACACTTGCCTTCAGGATTGTATTTACAGCCAGGACAGGTATATGACTACATGCAACTTACTTATTTGTAAATATCCACTAGTTATGGTGACATGAAACCTTCAAATAAATGACGACATTGGGCATAGTTACCATTGGCATCTTTGCCAAACCCAAACCCAGAACTGCCGGAACCAGTAGATTTTAGAAGAACCAAACCTTGAACCGAAACCGCACAAAAATCTAAGGTTCCCGGTTCCAGCAAGAATGAAGGAAATCCATTACTAAGCTTCAAGTCATCATCAGTCAGGCATGTTTGTCCATTGAAAACCTGAGAAGACTGAGGGTTGATAGCATCTTTGATACAATTTGACATTTCCTGATGTTTTTCATGAAACTGTGTACACCGTGTCAGCATTACTCTGCACTCGGTGAAAACCTGTACTCTGGTTTCTTAAAACTCTTTACCTTATGATAATTATTATTATTTTTCACTTAATACCTGTAGATTCCTATATTAATGATAATGGCTTATCTGTTAAGTTGTATCCAGGTCAGCCACATAAGTAAGAGAAAGATATTTGGCATCATCAAGAAAACTGTGGAAACATCTCTGATGCACAGCATTTGATGTCAATAGTTAAACTTACCATCATCCGGCTTTTGCCTTACCAGACTATTGTCCTCTGGTGTACTTTACCGGAACAATAGTAACTAGACTAATGGCTGTTATGACCAAAACAAATTTAATTATTCTAATTAAATACAGTATATACAATACAGTATGCATGTCCTATATTGTACTGTATAACAATAATAAAAATTATATAATTTTACCATAGTACTGTACAGTATATATAATGCCTGGAATTATATGAGCTCCAATGAAACCACCAATTCCCAATTCATTGGATTTCCACCTAATCTGAAGTTATCTCAACTAAGGATTCACAGTCTTTATTTTCCTCAAAACCTCTTGCTACTAGCCTTGCCTTCATCATACACGGTCCATTCTCAAGATGGTTGTCTGGGAACACCCAATGAATGGAAATACTGTATACTGTATTATTGACCAGTCCAGTGGCCTCGTGAGTTTCACGCAGCCCAAGTTCAACAATTCACGAATTTCATGCGGACCCCTAAATTCCCCGCCTCATTACATCTTCGCACCTTCCTCCAGACTTTCACACTCCCCGTACTAATAAAATGTGTTTTGTACCTTATACCTCTTGAGTTTTTGTGTGTAAACCTTGCCTAAATTATAAGTTAAATATTATTGTGTGATACATTAGACTTTTTTTTGTTATATAAAATATAGTTTGGTAACATAAGACTGTAATAGACACTAAACTTTGTACATAATAAGTAAAAAATACAGAAACACATAGATATTGTAAAAAAAATAAAATAAAAAAGTTCTATATTACATAAACAACTCCTTCCCTGGCTGGCTGGTCAGCTGCTCATCGATATAAACATCACCAGGAACTAATACGACACAATAACTCATCTGGGTTGAGTGGGGTAATATTTTTATTTTATTTTATTTTTTAATTTATGATAATGTTTTATTAACCCAGCACCAAATGAACCTAAGTTATGTGGGAATTATGGTGAAATTACATAGTGCCGTTTTAATGGGGTCGGGCTGACTGAAGTCTCCCAGAGGGGGAACCTATGCTGAGTCATTCCACCCTCAACCACCATATCCTTTCTACTTATTATTTTTCTTATTTTATAGTTTTATATTATACTGTATTTTCTTTATTTCGAAGCCACATTAGAGTATTGTTTTCTGGTTGAAATTAGGGGAATGAAGGGGTGGGAAAAAAAAGAAAAAAGAAAAAAAAGTAGGACTTGGGCACAAGCACCAGAATGAAAAATTACCTTTTTTCATGTAAACATATATTGCGAGTTCCGTGATTCAGTAGTCCCACGTGGGGTCCCCAGAACAAAGTAATCACGAAACTCATGAGGCCACTTCATATACTGTACATTAAATCTTTTCCAGTTTTCTAATTTTATTTTTACTTAGCATGTTTCATTCTCTTTTCATCATATCTACTCAATACATGTACTATAAAAAATTTTATGAACACTATTTTCTGTCTTGTTTGTGCTGCCCTGTTGATTTAACAGTACAGCTTAAATTAACTGTTTCTTTCCAATGATTGTCACCCAATGGAAAATATTTTACTCTTTGACCAATCTCAGGTAAATATCATTGCCCTCACTGCTGTCTTGTGGTCATCACGTTCATCTACATCATCTTCTTCACACAGCATTTGTATGTTAGCATTTTCTTGATGAGAGCTTCTTTGAATTTCTGCAAAATTTTCTATGTACTCTCACAAGGCTGTTCCCATGTCACAATAATGCCACTTTTCCATCCAGTACCTTTTTGTTGCACCTTTCTTTCATTGTATCCTTTTCATAAAATACAGAATCATGTGTTTTGAATATTTTCTCTACAGGTCTTATCTAGTGTTTAATTGTCCTTCTAATTCTTCAGTACAGTACTTCTAAAAGTTGACCAATAAAGTGTCTTTCTTTGTAAAACAATCTGACATCTAATTGCTAGAATCAACCCACTTCAAAATTCTTATTTTTCTAACATCATGATACAAGTCAAATCCTTATCATTTCTTGTCTGCACCTATAGTGGATGGATAAACCTTCTCATCTAGGGATTATCACTACAAATACAAGATAGCATAGATTTTAGAAAAGTCATCCTTGATATGGAGTGACATATGGTATTAATAAAGTCTGTCATTAACAGGTAATTGGCACACTACGTTATTGGTTTAACTTACAACGTGCCTGTGAGGAGGTCATTGCCCAGCATCTTCGCACAGTTGGTGTTTTAGGGTCGACTCAACATTATGAGGATTTCATTCCCAAGGTAATTTTGTATTACACTTTGTGTTTAGTAGTACACTATATAACTCCTGGTGGTCATATCCTGCAGCAGTTGCAGTAAGGAGGGTCGCACTGTTTCGGATATATCCCGAAACTGGTGCGATATATTTCATGTGGACCCAATTTAAATTTCCTATACAGTATTTTGTATTGGCTGATCATTTTTATGGAGGCTTCTGGCAACTGCCCCAAGGCAGGGTGATGCCTCGCCCATTAGTAATGGATGAACCATGTCTGAGTCAAGACATACCGCATCCGCTTGTGTGTGGTGCCCTGTGCAGAAGGAAATTGATACTTTTATAATTGATTCTGAAGATAAGGATGACCCTCCCATATATGATAAGACTTATATACTGTAGGTGGAAATGGTGACTTCCCTCAAGATTTGACTAATAGATCTACTGTGGTGAATATAAGGGGAGTTAGAGTGAAGAGGATGGGGAAATTGCAGGTGTTGGGGGGAGAGCTTTAAGCCATGTGTCCAACCATGAGGTTCTCACACAGGATTTAAGTGATTTTTTGCTTGTTCTCCCTGATCCTTGAACTCTGATGGTGTAAATCAGGAGTTATGGTAATACAGCCTTACTGTACAGTATTAAAATATTTTATGACCTCCCTCCTGATATTTCACCATCCAGTGGGTAAGGACCACGAGTTGTTATCACTGTCCTCCAAGAGTTAAGCAGAATGATGGTTAATTTTTCTCTTTTTCTGTATATTAATATATTTTAGCACCAATACTCAAAGTGTAGTTAGTAGAATAACAGAAGTCAAACCAGTATCTATATCATGTGGGTCGAGTGACCCTTCAGATTCTCTCTACTGTATATTCATCATTCTTACATTTTTTTCACTTTCTTGTATAATGCTCTATACTACAGTGTACAGTTTCTTTTCATCATCATCATCATCATCTCATCATCATCATCATCATCATCATCATCATCATCATCATCATCATCACACACACACACACACACACACACACACACACACACACACACACACACACTCTCTCTGCTGGGACTAAATGGATTTTCTCTTTTAATGAACTGTGCATTTATTTGTTAAGAAAGTTGATCACGACCCAGTATATCACAGTGCAGTAGATACAGGAGCATAGCTTTACAATCCATATGCTTTGTATTTACAGTAAGTCCTCGCTTAATGTCATGGTTCCATTCCTGAAAACCACGATGTTAACAGAATCAATTTTCCCATAAGAAATGCATAAAATATGGGAGTTACGTTCCCCAGCCTCCCTTTGCCTCATAAAATACATTACATATACATAAATCTAATGGAATTTTTATAGAAAAGAGCATATATTATACATCCCCCAAAATAAATAAACTAAATAATTTTGTATTGCACTCACTGAAGGGCAGAGGTGGAGTGAGTGTGTGGTGGGTAGTGGAGAGGTGGAGGGTGGGAGAGGAGGAGGGCGGGAAAGGAGGAGGGTGGCTCCTCCTCCCGCTCTGACTGGGTGAGAGAGGGTGATGCGCTGTACAAAGTAGTCCTTGACGACGCTATACAAAATCGGCGAGATGTTGTCTGAATCATGGGTATCTAAAGAGTAGTGACGTTATAACGAAACAACATTGTCGGAGGCATTGTTAAACGAGGACTTGCTGTATCACAGTGATACGTATGTACTGTATAGAAGTTTTGTATAGAAGTTTTGTATTTATTACAGATATTTCATGTAGATCCACAATGGAAACGTGGATAAGATAAATCTTGATAAAATCACACAGGAAAAGGGGAAACAATGGAACATCTTATCTTTTGTCTTTATTCAAGACATTTGTACAGTACATGCACTTGTAAACTACAGTATCAGCATTCTGCTAAATTCACTACATCACAATTGGCCTAGTCCCAAGTATTTTAAAATACTGAGACACTACTGTACTCTGCAGTACACTGTACTGCTAGACCATAACAGCTTTCCACCTTCACACCTACAGTTGTACCTTCCTGCTCTTAAAATTATTCTGAGTATTTTTTCTTAATTACTGTAATATAATTCAGAAATCTTTTATGGCATAATGTGTAAGTAGATTTAAAAAAAAATGCAATGGTATATTTACAGGCCTCCAAGACGATAAAGGCAAAGAACCCAGTAAAGCAGAGCAAAAATGGTAATAAGGAACAACAGGGAAATGCAGAACAGTCTTCCTCTGACATGAGCAAAGGAAAAACTGGTGTCAAACGTGCATCAAAAGTGAAACATCCAAGCCCAGCACCAAGATCACAGTCACATGCATCTCTGCTCTTAGAAACTCAACAGACATCATCCCAAGAGGGTGAAATAAGTAAACATCAACAGAAAACTTTACAATATCCTTCACCAACAGATAAACATGCCCCTGTAATGCAAGTTAAAAGTGGCTCTCACAGTGATGGTGAAGCTAACAATAATGTGCTTCAAGATCAGTGTTCACAGTCACAGTCTGTCAGCTCAGCCAGATCCTATAATGGTAAAAGTCCCTCTAAAACAAATATAAATGACACTAGTGATCAAGAAGACTGTAGAAGTCACAGCAGTATTAAATCAAAAAGAACATCTAAATCAGATTCTTTAAGCAAGTCTAACCAGTCTACCAGTCATGTAGAATCACCTCACCTTGATAAGACAGCAACTCAACCTAAGTTTGTAGCTGCAGACAAGAGTGTAAGTGAATCTTCTATGGAAATTAAGGGAATCTCCGTTATTCCTGAGAATTGTGCTACCTCTCCAATACCTCACAAAAATCACCCTCAGGTATTGTGTTTAGTTATTTCTGAGACTTATGTATTAGAACTATACAGTGTGTGTAGAGAAAATTTTTCTTTGCAATATTATTATATATGTTTGGATACTTGTTTAGCAGGATTTTTGTTAAATCAAATGAAGGATAATTATAAAAGAAAGTGACCCTATGCATTATAGTACAGTGATATCTTTTTAGCCGGAACAATTGGTGCAAAGCACTTCCGGGAATGAGAGATTTCCGGGTAACGAGATGACTCTCAAATCCGGAAAAAAATCCCTCATCCCCGGAATTTTACTGGTAATGGAAAAATGTTCTCAGAAGTTACAGAAATTGTCCATTACATCATCTCTCGAACCCGAAAAAATATCCCCCATCCCTAGAATTTTCCGGGTATCGGAAAAATTTTCTTGGAATTTCCAGAAAATGCACCTAATTTTCGTCTTTCAAACTCGGAAAAGAACTCCCCCATTCCGGAATTTTCTGGGTATCGGCAATTTTGGGGGGAATTTTCCGGAAAATTTGCTCCTCGGAAAATTTGTATTCCGGCTAACGGAGACATTACTGTACGGTATTTCGGATGTGATCAATGTATCGGATCACCAGGCTTGTAGGTTGACACCGCAGGATTCCCAAGGCTCCTCTACAAGTGTGACTCTGTTATAGTTCAGAAATCAAATAGAAAAGTAATGATAAGATCTCTATTGACTCAACAGCCTGCCCCTAAAAAGGGAATAGGACTGATGACTCAATACTCAGAGACTGAGAGCTAAAAATCAGCTGCTGCCGTACTTCTTTGCATATATTTTATGATCCAAACAACTCATAGAAAGGAGATCCAGCTTCAATTCCTAATCACACCTCCTTCTGTTTAGGTATCTTTCAGCTGGTTCAGTGTTTTCAGCAGCTAAGTGCTTCCTTTACCATATTTTGGGGTGTCTGTTTAAAGAGAGTCTGGTTACCACAGTCTGAGATGCTGTTTAGTATTATACTTTAGTTACAGTATGTTTTATCTTGCTATATGAATGTTCATATTTGTTGAATCATCCAGTTTGTAATTCACAAGTAGGCAGGAGACTGGGCACTTTCACTATCCATCTTCATGTCAACAATCCAATGTATGTATCAAAACTTTAGTTTTCCAGAGTGTGGGGACACTGATTGCGAAGAGTATATTCAAGTTTCCTTAAAAGTGTATTCTGAAATGATGTGTCACAAAAGTTCCATTTTAGCCAGGTCAATTTGTGTTCTCTCTGTTTAGGGGTCATTCTGGTTTCCATTATGTTTAATCATAGGGCACATAGGAATCATTCAGAGAATCTGGTAGCTACTAGCTGGATAGTTCATCTGTGTTGATTCAGTCTATTTTCCCAACAAGAGTGAGTTACCCTTCACCAACAATGTCTGTGCCAACTGTCAGCTACCTTCAAGCCCAGGTAATGTACAGTATTTATGGGGAATTCATTAAATCTCATTCCCCACGCTATTAACCCTTTCGCTGGCCGTTGACACTATTTGCTTCACTACACAGGCCGTGATGAGCGAGAGGTCTCCCTTGACCCTGAGCACTCATGCTGGCCAGACCACTCACTCGGGGATCTGGCGGGTAAAATATTATCTTTTCACACTCATTTTCAGCCATCCCATATCATTTATACAACAATTTTCTTCTTTTATCACATAGTCAAATGGTTTATCTTTTTAACTCAATAAAAAAATGCTTAATTTTACCCAGAAATGATAAATGAAAAATTAATACAATTAATGATCTATACATTTTTGGATGAAGCAGATAGCATCATCGGCTTTGTCTACGGGTGTGATTTGGACCTCACAAGCAGCCATTGAAAGGGTTAAATTGCTCCCATTGTTTCGTGTCAATATGCTTGTGCATTTTTTGACTGTGTAAGTGTTCCCCTGTTTTCTGTTATCCTGCATTATTGATTTTTGCTATGGCCTTTCTGTTTTTTACAGTGATATAATATGGATGACTTTTGCTGGACTCCCAGGTGTGAGCTTGAGCTCCACATTCTTGATAACTTTTGAGTTTTATCTTAGTCATGGTAGGTATTGTAGTATGAATAGGTTTGACCCAAATAGATTTAATGAATGCACTGAGTTGTTGGGTAACATTTCACATAGTACTGTACTGTGATTACCACTTCTTTCCTTTATAGGAAGAAAGTGGTAATCTCTATTGACAGTGTGACAAGCTCAAATCAGTACTGTAGTGGATTTGTTGCCAACAGAAAAAGAAGTTGTTTTTTTCCTCTCCCTGAGCTCTCTGAAGCTGGGTCAAAGAATTATGACATACAGAACTGGCCCCTGGCCAAAGTCCAAAGTTTGTTTTTTTGAGGGTCAGTGTAGCCTTGTTATCTCATCCCAACATGGTGGTCAATGTAGTACTGTACCAAACATGTCCATAGATTCAATTGCACTGTTCTTTTAAAGCACTTGCCTCAATGATTCATTATTCTTAGGTACCAGCTAGAAACTTTTAGATAATGTTTTTAGAATCATCACAAAAAACAGTGATTTGAGAGTGTTGTTCAAAGTGGACAGAGTAGTAAAATGAAAGGCATCATGGCATTGGGCTGTGGAGATTTTGGAGAGAGAAGCAGACAACCCAAGATTGTGGTAAAATTGCTTGGGTCAGTGGTCTATGATGCTTCATCTGCCTTGTTGGTGAGGTGAGTTCTGGTGGTCCAATATGTCTCAGAAACATTTGTTTCTGATTTCAGGAACCAGACCTTTTACTCAATAATTTGTAGTGCTTCCTATGAAAAGACAACTTGTACCCTATTATTTAGGGGGCCAATCTTTGTTGGAAAGGTCATGGTCCATGGTTTGACTGCAGGGAATATAACCAAACAGATGGTTTCAGCTGTTATGGCAACTTAGAAGCTGTACTGTTATTGTTTTTCTCTCTTAAGTTCTTCCATTTACTATCAGACTGTGCAAGCAGATCAATTAAAGGATTTGGTGACAAGGTTGACCCATTCAGGCTTTTGGTAGGGTTCCTTGGAGATCTGTGGACCTAAACAAAGGACACTGCAGTATTTAATACAATACTTGGTCATGGATTTTGGGGGGTCCAGAGTTAAAGTTAGGATCAACATCGTGAATATTATCAACTTCCTGGCTGGATTTTGCGTAGTCATCTTTGTTTATGAGGACCCTTTTGGTTTTTTTGGTTTGATCTCAGGGAAGTTGATAGGTAATATCAGTTTTACCTAAGCAAAGGATTTCTTGTAACAAAATGAAGCTCCTTCTGAAACATAGTTCCTCCTTGGGCTGGAGAATTCATGGGAAGTCAATAAATAAGGCAGGGATGGTTAGTAGGAGGAAAAAGTTGTAAGGATAGGGTGAAGGGTGGAGCAGTGTTCGTGAATAAACAAAGTGGCACTGAGTATTTTTTGAGGATGGACATGCTGCTTATGGGTGGATGGTAGCTTGTGTGAAACAACAGGGGTGAAATAGCTGGATATTTGAGGTCTTGTTGTGGACAGGGAATACCATAGCAGAACACATTAATGATGAATGAAGAAAGACAAAAAATAAATTGTCAAATAAATGTCAGCCTTACATACCGTACAGTAGAACGTCGATTTAAAGCGATTCAATTTAAGATTATTGATTAAAGCAACACCCACAATTAAGGAAAATGTTTTAATTTAAAGGGAATCTTTCCTATTTTCCGCGAGTCAATCTGGCGCATCATATTTTAAAATTTGCGCCTAATATTTCTCTGGGCAGACTACACTGTCCTAAGGGCAAAGCTGGACTACATGTACTCAAAATAATGTACTAAATGATTATTAAAATTTTTGTCTAGTGCAAACTATAGCATGATTATATTCAAATTAATCACTACCTGTATCTTCTAAGAATTCCAGCAATGTAAATTATATTCTCCCCAGTCACTTCTGTGACATTTTATAAGCAAAAAACATAAACTCAAGCTAAAGGACATAAATAAACAAATAAATACTTTTACTAGACCTTGCCCAGCTGTCAAACATGTCACTTCCTTCCCTCCCCCCCCATCTTCCCAGCCAGGGTTTGGTGTTTTAGACTTAAAGTTTTTATCTTATATAATGTAACAGACTAAAGTTAGGAGAATATAATTTGTATTGCTGGAATCCTTGCAAGACAGCAAATAGTCATATATTTTGCACAAGAGATAAAATTTTGGCTCTTTTAATCAAATTCTTAAATTAGAACTAAAATTTGTATGTCTAATGCGAGCTATACCATGTTTATATTCAAATTAATCACTATCTTATTAGAATTCCAGCAATGTTAATTAAATACTCCCATGTCAGTTCAGTGACATTTTATAAGAGAAAAACTTAGTCACTCTTAAGGACAGATAAATAAATAAGCACTAGACCTTGGCATCAAGTGTCAAACATATCACCTCACCTCCCTCCCTCCCTCCCCCCCATCTTCCCAGCCAGTAAACACACCATTTCACATCCCTTAATTTTAGCTGTGTTGATTTATGAGTGTTTGTTTTAACATAATACTACAAAAAACAATGTTTTGTTTATTCTAGGAGATGGGCTAAGGTACATCTGGGGAGACTCTCAGTCTTTTTAGTATTTTGTGTTTCTCTCAAGTACCAAACTAAATTATTCCATTGAAACAACACTTCGATTTAGTGGGAATTCGGTTTAAAGCGACTCTTACACTCTTACATTATATCAACGTTCTACTGTCTCGTCTACTGTGCAGTACAGTACTTAATTTATCAACAGAAAGCATTATTCAAACTATCGTGTCTTTCAGGTTTTCAGACAACATGCATACTCTGATGAAAATAGCTCTCCAGAATCTTCTAAAGACAACAGTGACACAATGTTTGAAGAGTCCAGTGAGTCTGACACTGACAGCAGGGAGTCACAACATAAGATGGTCCAAAAAGGTAAAGGTGTTTTCTTAGAATAGGTTAGTAAAGAGAACTGAGGGATGTATGGAACATTTGGAGTGTGGAAAGAGCTGTGATGAATAAGATTACTGTGTTTACAAGATGAGTAAAGTGTATGCATTGTTATAAACTTAGCCACTTCTAGTATCTTATTTGGCTAATGCCAGATGATTTTATTTAGCTCAGAGGCGACACCATAAACAAGAGGTTAAGGAGTAACATTGGTAAAGGGTGATAGGAGTGGAAGATAGAAATATAATATGTAAATGAAACTATGAATTGATGAAATAGCACAAGAAATGTCAAACATTGCAAATATAGGAATTAAAAAAAGGTTGTGGTAGCTCAGAAATTAATAATACAGTTATAATAATATTTCTTCAGTAAAATTGTCATACAGGTTTTACAATTGGATAAGCATGTTTATAAACTATGCAGTTATACAGTTCAACATGAATATTGACAATGTAGGTATACTGTATATACAGTACATGTAGGCTGTGGGAGTACAGTACTGTACTGTATACTATTTACTATTTCTTGTGTGCTGAGACAGTGCAGGATTTAGAGTGTAAGGTTTGTTCAGATGATACAGACTAGAGAGAAGTGAAAGATTCACTTATATGGTAATCAAAATGTATTTTTAATGCATAAGATTTGTTAGATAAACAAGAGGCTTAAGTTCTGAAGAAGTTATTAGGATTACCATAAATCAGTGTACAGTATTGTAAAGCATGAATGCAATATGGGCGTGCACTACCGGGTAGTAGTTTGATAGGGAGTGTAAAATTACTGGAGATATTGGTAGATTTTTTTCAAGATTTAGAAGTCTATTAAAAGCAGTACATAATTAAGACATAATAAAGGTGTGATTGTGATATGGATAGAAAAAATAAGATAAAGAGACATTGGAGATTAATGGTACAGTAATGCAGTAGTTGCCAGGATGCCTGGGACACCCAAATTCAATTACTGTACTGGATAAAAAAAATTAGATACAGTACTGGAATTAAATGGGATTTGGTGCCCAAATTAAGGATTTAACAGATATTTTTATATCATTATGTAAGTATGGTACCCTCTCCCTTAACTGGATTAATTGAATTTTTTTGCAGCAGTCTAGTTAATAGAGAATCCTGGTTACTTGTGTACCTTCCTTTGACCTGACAAAATTCTCACAAAAAACATATATTTCTGGGTTAATTGTGCAATTTATTTATATAACTTTAAAAACAAAAGAAGTAAAATGTAGAAAATAAAGGTGCTGAAAGATAACTGAAGAATAAAATGAAAATATGAAGAGCAGGTATACTGTACATGAATGTAAATGAAAGAGAACATAAAGGTGGTAATCACAATTTGAACTTGTATGTAGTACCACTATGATCAGCTATATCCATTAGTGTTGTAGTTCTCTGAACAGTGTTATTTTTATCAGTAATAGATCACATTGTCTCCCAGTACTGTTTCAAACTAAAGAGTGCAGTACAGTACTATACTCAGTCTGCTTATACTGAAACTTCATTGTACAGGTATTGACTGCCCTGGCATAGCCTTTTATACCTCCTGTTTAATAATGTCACTACATTATTGGTTTATAACTAGTTATAGACATAGATCTGCAGAAAACGTTTATTGATTGTTAACCACTGTGTTGTGTAGAGGTCTTTTATTTATATTCTCAGGTCCCACACAACTTATTGCAGAAGCCCAGTGCAGCGAAGCCTTTACAAGAAAAGAAAGTATTAAGGGTAATATGGTATGTAAAATACAATTCACTTTAGATTATGTTGATAGCACAGTACTGGTATTTTTGTGTGATTTCCTTATGATTATTGTTCTTTTTATATGTACTGTACTTGGTTATCTGGCAGTAGGGGTTATGATTTTTAGTAACAGAAGATTCATCAGTGGTTAATCCAGGGTTTTTTAAAGGGAGAGTTCTAGAAATTTTACTGATTAAGTGTATGCAAGATGAGGGAACCCCTGTACAGTACATAGAACACTTTGCATGGATCCTGTATTAATTTGATAAAGCATTAACTAGAAAAGAACAAGTTTAATTTTACCATATTACAGTATTCCATTTATTGTTGAAACAAAAAAAAAGTAAGTACTGTACTCTGGTATAAACCAGAGTAAACAATGAAATATATCACGAGGCATTATTTCGTGCAATATTACAGACAATAAATAACTACAGGTACAGTATAAAGGTGAAATAATACACAGGATTATAAAGTGATTCAATACAGGATAACTCTCTTGTGTAAGTACTGTATTGATTTTTTTAAACTGTTGGATCTATAAATTTTTAAATTGAAACAAAGGTTAATGCCACATTTCTACTTTTTTAGAATATTAAAGTAAGAATGTACTCGTATTAGTCACAATTGCATAACTCATGTTAGGGAAATACACTGAGTTTCACTCCATTTCATCTCATCATTGATTGGATGAGCTTATGATTTTTGGCACTTCCCATGATTTGTTATACTATTTTGTCACAGATTAGGCATTTGAAGGATGTTTGTTGCAGATATTTGTACAGGTACAGTAGTTATTTTTGGGCTTCTAGTAACTGACAAAACTGTGGTAGGGTTGAGATGGCCAGAGAATTGGGATCCTTAAGAATTGCAGTTATTCAAAATACATATAACCAAGAGTCCACTGTAATGCCTTTTAAGAAACTCTTTGATTTGCAGAGTATTCATGGCACAAGAGTACAGCAGGTGCAATCTACCAGCAGCCCTGGGACAAGTAGTAGCAAAAGTCATGCAACAGACAGCCAACTGTCTCTGACTGAATCCAATCTTGCTACTGATTCTGAAGGAGTTGTAGCGGTTGCTTCAAAGATAAAGAAGGTATACATTACTGGTATTTTAGTTGTTACACATCCTTTATGAAAGAAACTGTAAAAGACCTCTTATCATGATGTTGGAAATGAGGATGTTGTTTAAGAAGATGAATTTATATGTTAAGCATTATTAGGGAAAACTCAAGGCATGCTCCTGATATACCAGTTTATGGCCTGGTCCAAAACTAGGCTGCTCATTCATTAACCCATAGGCCTGGACCCAGGAGACCCGACATTAGAAGCCAGGATTGTTTGCCATCTCCTACTGCAACTGTTCCTCAGAGACATACACTGCTGGACAGTACAGTATATCATTATTTATAAATACAAAAGTGACAGCAGAGGTGGGATTGTTATAGAGAAAATGAGTTGCAAGAAATGAAACCTCAGCTGTCACAGTGATCACTATTCAGTGTTCTTCTCACACTTGTGTGTAGATCATTCATGGCCACCGAGGTAGGAGAGAATATCCCCTACTATTTGGCCATTGTAATATAATATATTCCATAAACATATATTAAAAGAATGGCTCCGGGTAACTACATTTTGTCAAAGGGTGTTTCATGGAGCAGTAGTCCTCTTGGGTCATCAAGTGATAGTGTCCATGGCACAAATGTCCATGGTCTCGTCAAATTAAAAAAATAAAATAAATAAATAATTGTTGGATGACTTGTATTTGAAAAATCTTCACAAAGTTACTTTTATTAGTTTATAGTACTAGTAAATAATTTAACTACAGTACAGTACATATGATAATACAGTTATAGCTCTGTTTCCATTGTTGATATGCATTTTAGATGATTACAGCATGCCCTTAAAATTCTCTGGGGATAGGTTCTCAAAATGGCCGCAAATAGTCAAATCCCTGAAAAACATTTGCTGACCAGGGGGTGGGGGGGGGTTACATTCTTACTTGTGTGCAAAGAAATGTCTATTCCCTTTATGTGTTTGCCCTTAGGGTAATTATTTCTTTAACCTGTATTGTACATATGTGTGTGCGTGTAAACACTCACACACACACAAATAAATAATGATAGGAAAATCCTCTCACAAGTAATCAGAAACAAGACAACAAAATGTATTAAAAATGCGAGAGTCTAACTTTAATAACAAAGCACGGAGTTGTAAACTCTTGGAACAATCTACCAGAGAGTGTTGTGACGGCACCGAGTGTGAGCTCTTTCAAGACAAGACCTGACCAACACTGGAGCGGGTTCAGGTACATTCAGGAGCCGGTGTATGCCCAGTATTTGCCAACAGTGCGTGACAGAGACGTTACCGATCGCCTTTGCGGCTAGCGAGCCGGTCTTTTGATGAAGAAGATAAATGAAAAGGAAAAGTAATCGGAGACGTGACCGATCGCCCAAGCGGCTAACAAGCCGATCAGTGGCGAAGAGGATAAAAGTAAAGTAAAAGTAAAAGTTGACTTGAGGGTAGACTATTTTTAATAAATTTTGTTGTCTTGTTTCTGATTACTATTTGTGAGAGGATTTTCCCATTATTTTTTATTTGTATGTTCTGTGTGTGTCTACATACACACACACATATATACGATACTGTCTGTAGAATGAATGGCTCCCTGTCCTGGCCACAAAAATGCCAGCAACATTAAAACTACCCACAGACATTCTTGGGTACCTCCAGGGTGTCATCCGCTAATAATTGAGGTCCTCGAATTAAAAATCTGCGAATTTTCAGGGCATACTGTACTGTAATACAGTAGACCGTCGCCAACCACGGATTTCTCATCTGCGGATTCCGGTTATCCACGGTTTTTACTCTGTATACCATTTCACCAACCACGGCATTGAATTTCGAGTATCCGCCGATTAGTGTGGCATCTTTGTCCCTCCGCAGTCTAATCTGTATTCTTCTGTAAATGTGTAGAATTAATAAAAATACTACTGTTCATAATACCCTGTACTGTACAGTATATTGCTTTCAATATTTAACTCAGAAAAAGAAATGAAGGAACTAGTCTCCCTCCCACCTCTCTTGGTGTGATTAGGAGTAAACAGGAACTTAAAGGGTGTGAGTATGATCTTTCTTTTGTGGCCAAAGGAGGTTATAAGCCCCTGACATGAAACCATACTGAATCTTGAGTAGCCCACCAAATCATGTGGGAGTGAGTGTTTAACCCAAGTTTAGCTAAAAAAAAAGTGCTCTTTACCATAAAAACAATATCATCCCTTCTCTGTCTTGAAACTGTATCCTGGCCTGTGATGGCTATCTGGAATTTGCTGGTTCTACCAGAAGGTGTTTTGTTTTTATGTTTTTTTTTACAGGTATTAGCCCACCCGGGCACAGGTCACTGACCCACATCGGGGCCTGGGGGGCGAAAATGTAATAATAATAATTCATAGTAAATAAAATTTATAATTAAAAAGACATTTTTTTAAATAAAATAATAAATTAATAATGATGATGATAATAATAATAATAATAATAATAATAATAATAATAATAATAATAATAATAATAATAATAACAACACTGTAATACACTGTAATAATAAAATGGAATTGTATACCTGAGTCCATAACATTTTTACAGGATAAACAATTGAAGATCTACGTTGAAGTATGTAACTTGACATTACATGGTGACTCTAGCGTGATTCAAGACCCATCGGTGGAATTCCTGTTCGTTGATTACCATGGGTTTCTTGGTCTTCCTCCTGATCAGTTAGAGACTCCAGTATCTCTTCCAAAGCCTCCCCCAGGACGCAGTCTCAATTTTAACTTTGGTCAAGGTAAATAATTACAATATTCAAACATTTGAGCAATGATAATAGAAATTGCAATGGAAATTTTCTAAATTGACATTTATTATGCAGTAGGATAACAAACTCCCTATTTCTTCACTTCTTTATCAAAAGATAATTAGTTTAAAGCCAGCAACCTTAAAAAAAATCTACTATTCCACACACAAAAAAATAGTCACCAGTCAGGTGGTTTAAACTAAAGATAATGACCGTGAATAAAATGTTTTTTATTTAACTTCAAACTTGTGCTGAGTGTGAAAGAAATTTCTAACCACTTTGAGTAGTTATCCAGACTTAAATGCACAGGAAATAATATAGCTGTCCTAACTTCTATGCAGTTCTTAGCCAGGGGTTTCTCACACTGTGGTTTGCTGGTGAAGGGGTTCCCTGCCCCTGGACATCCCCACATTATATCAACCATCTTGATCTCTTAATCCCTCCCCATCACACCTTCAGCCTCTAATGAGAGAGATTTAGTGTAATAGCTGTCATCTTGAGGTAGGAGATCTTTTAGAACCATGCACATAGCCTATACACTGTGCCAAACTACTGTTCAGGACAATTGACCATGTTGAATTAAGTTCATTTCTAGAAAATAGGATTTTAATTCATTTGGCAGACTGCCTAACTCAATGAAGCAGACATTCAGGCTTGTTATAGTACAGTATACTTGTCGATGCACATATTTTGAGATTTTCATGTTTGGGTCAGTAATACATGGCTTTTTAGAAGAAATTCCTCACAATACTACACACAATTTTCATGATTACAGACAGGTAACCCCTGAGATGCGATATTTCACTTTAACGATGGTTATAAATTAACACCATCTCACTATATACGATCAAAACAACTCGTTTTAACGATATCCATTGGTCAGAATTTTTTGTTCTCCTCAGTGCAAACTATGGGTTGTTTATACTCAAATTAATTGCCGCCTTGCAACAAGTCCAGCAATGCAAGTTATATTTTTATGCATCAAGTTAGTTACATTTTATAAGGAAACAATATTTAACCCTGTGCACCATGCATCTCTACCTTCACTTGTCAGCCCACCTACGTGCCGCCACATGGCCAACCCGCTCACAACAGCCGTGTCTGGTTCTTTGTCGATCGTAAACCTGCCATCCCATCGCTGCACGATTATTGGCCAGTAGTGGTGTACTTATCATCAGTGTGTTTTTTCTTATATTGTTTAGTGAGAGGACTGCACTAACATTGAGATTGAGCTGTGTTTTGGTGACTGTGAAGTGATATTTTCTGTGTTTTTGCGACTGTAAGCTGCTTCGACTCTGTTGTTTTGAAAATGTGAGCAGTCGATGGGTATCATTGTTTTTGTTATCATCATTCGCTGTTTTTGTGACTGAAGTGAGGCATCCAAGACAACCATGTCTCTGAGTGAAGCTTGACATTGTTAAGCAGCATGAGACTCCCCAGAGGCTGTGTGGGAGTCAGGGTGACGTCACCACTCCACCTACAAGAGTCCCCTTAGCCTCGAAGGGGACAAGTGATGATGACCAGACTTATCCAGCATGATTTGGTGAGTTTCGTTGACTTGTTTTGTACTGATAATAGTATTGAATGAAAAACAATTTCAGTGATACATGTATGTTTGGGGAATGGCTGGGAATGTATCCCATTGAACCCCATTTTGTAATGCTCTCGATCTATGATATTTCACCAAGTGATGGGTTTTTCAGGAACGTAACCCCATCGTACTCGTATCTCAAGGGTTACCTGTACTGGACATTGCTTAGAAACAAGTCCCTTGTTCAAATAATGTCAGATAATGTTAATGCATGAAAATAAGTTGAAAATAGATATACATAACAATTCTTCCCATTTTTTCTTGTCCTAGCACAGGGTTCTGTTAGGAGGTGTATCATTTGCAGAATTGCACAAATCACTCATCTCTTTCCTTCAACTATAAGATAGGATTTCATACTTCAGTCCTCTGTTTTACCATTTCATGGGCATAGTGATATATGCATGTGATTAAACAATTACGTATAGGAAAATGAAAAACCATCTTTTGATACACTCTACAGTATTTATATACTGTACAGTACTAGTCCTTAACTTATTTACATTCCCAGAATTTAGTATCAGCAAACAGTATCCAGAGCGTGAGCAAGCCTTGGTTGACCTGATGAAGAATCGAGGAATCATCAAGTTTACTGTAACATCAGAACCATCTGAAGAGCTCCAAGATATTCATGACTGCCAAGACTTGGGGTTAGTTATACAGTACAATAAAAGTTTTTCTCATGTTGTGAGATGATGTATATTATGGGTGAGACAAAATTAGTAAGGTTTTATCAACAATTAATAATTGGCCAAAAGATTTACTACTGATATGGATAATGAAATTTATTTTTTAGTACAATTTACATTAGGAAAAGTAGTTTATCTTTCCAACAGATGGCTGAACTCATCATTTGTAAAAGAGAACAATTTCTGATGGAAATAAGCATTTTCTTTCAAGATAGAAAGATCATTGGATCATGATGATATATCATGGCAGGGTTTCCACATGTCACAAAAAAATTAAGAACAAAATACAGTGGTCCCTCGGTTAACGAACACAATTCGTTCCAGAGTCGTTCGTTAACCGAATCCATTGTTTCAATGAGATATTGGGTAATTGGTTCCAGCTCACAGAAATGTACACACAAAGTAAAAAAAAAAAAAATGCAGTAAAGTACACTTACTTTGAGGAGTGTATGTAGAAGGCTCCTGGTTGATGATGATGGGAATTAGAAGTGGGGGTGGAGGAGAAGGGAGAAGAGAAGGAAGTGGGGATGGAGGAGAAATCACTTTTCAGGGAACCCATGCTTGATGCAGTAATTTCACCAATAAAATTTTAAGTTCACAAGGTGTAATTCAAGATTATTTTATTTAAATCAACACTGCACTGCGCTATATACAGGTTGTACCTCTCTAGTCCGGCAACCTCGGGACCTGACCGGTGCTGGACCATGGAAATTTCCGGACCATGGAAATTCACCCTTTTCCTGGATAGATAGTGACTTGGCTTGGAAGCACTAGCACCACTTTCTCTGCTTCATGGTCTCTTTGAAGACATATTGAAGGGTTAAATGTCGTACAGTAGCTTCTCAAATTTCGCGAGTTTTTAATTCGACGTTTTCTATTTGAACACCAAAAAAACAATACATTTAAAAATTTTGATGGCGGAAACTCGAATTTCGACAGGTTTGAACGGCCCACCAACGTTCAGACGACGTGTACAATCGTGTAAACAGCGTCATTTCTCTTATGTACAAAAGATTCATTATTGTTTATTACTGAAAGTCTTTTTGATTGAATTAAAACACAAGGAAATGAGACAGCATTGTTTTCGTTGATTACAAAACCAGTGACTGACTGGTTCTACATATAAAACTGAAGAAAATAAGACCTTGGTTGTAGCTGTAGTAAAATTAATATGGTTGTTTTAAGTAATGTTATTTAATGTTAATAAATGGAACAATAGAAGTAGCTAACGATAGTGGTAAAGAAAAAAAGAGAGATCGCGTATGTAAGTGCGCACACGTGAAAACATATCGTCATTACTTTACATAAGAATATGAAAGCAACACTTATTTACTGTTGATATATATTTTAATTAATGTTTCTGAATTTGTTTTTATTGAATTAATGTTTGTGTGTGCAAAATTAACAATACAATTTATTAATAATACGTGGAATATTAAAACACACGAGGAGACGAGACGGCTGCCGGCATTGTTTTTGTTAAAGCTTACAAAACCAGTGACTGATTGGTTCTACATATAAGACTGAAGAAAATAAGACCCTGATTGTAGCTGTAGTAAAATTAATGTAAAAAAATTAATATGGTTGTTTGAAGTACCTGTAATGTTTTTTAATGTTAATAAATGGAACAATATAAGTAGCTTACCATTAATGGTAAAAAAAAAGTGAGACCGCGTATGTTAGTGCGCACATGTGAAAACATATCGTCATTACTCTACATAAGAATATGAAAGCAACACTTATTTACTGCTCATATATATTGAAGGGTTAAATGTTGTACTCTGTATAGATAAGCAGAGAGAGAGAGCAGCCGAACTGCCGGATGTAAACAAACCTTAATTTCCCGCGGCTTTGTTGTTGTTTTTTTTTACGGAGATTAACCCACCCGGGCATAGGTCACTGACCCACATTGGGATCTGAGGGGCAAAAATTTAATACTCCTGTAATAATAATAATAATTCAGATAAGTAAAAAAAAAAAAAAAAAAGCTGCCTATCTACCTATTGGACAAACTAAAATCGTTCCAGACCACGGGAGTTCCCGAACCACAGAATGCCGGACTAGAGAGGTACAACCTGTATTATCATATATTAACTAAATTTCAGAATGACCAATAATTTTAATGTAAAAATATTCAAGACACCAACAAATTCGATGATCACTTCACTGTAAACTAAGCCAAACTGACGCCTGGTGGGTGAGTCAAGCGGCTGATGGGCGCACAAAAAACTACCGGGTACTGCATATATTATCAATATGTTAACTATATTTTAAAATGACTAATAATTTTTATATAAAAATGCAAAAATATTAAAGAGCACAACTTTCTTGATATTTACTCCACTGGAAACGAATGTAAACATAGAACAGATTACTGATTTGGCAGACTAGCCCATCAGCTGATGCTCACATCAAAATGTGTTTGTCGTAAGGATTTCGTTAATCGAAGTTTTGTTCGTTAACCAAATTGAAGATCCTTAAGGGAGGTAATTCGTGAACCAAAATTTTTTTAATCGAACCGTTCGTTAACCGAGGGACCACTGTTTACAGTACACTACAGTATTTATAAAAAAAAAAAGAGTAAATGACACTGCTGGTCACGAGGAGGGAGGAGGAGACAGACAACTGATGATCACTTAGTAGTATTTCCCTAAATTTCATATTAAAAATTTTCTTTTGCTTTTGTAAATGCATGGTAAATTTCTTTTTTAACAGTCTAAAATAACAATATTTGATGGGAATATTTGGTGCAATTTTTATTGTAGTTTTATTATGTTTTAGGGCCAAATATTTCTCAGTTGGAGTGTACCTCCAGTTATGTTCTGTTATGGTTGCCTATGGTTACATAAGTTTTTCTATAAATAATTTCTAGACTAGTAAAACTTTTCATAAATACATCTCGAGTAACTCCTCATTTTACAAGATTTTGCTATACTGTAATTGGATTTATCAGTATAGGAACACTCTTCACTGTATACAATTGTTTTTCTCTCATTTAAACACATTTAACACAGTTGAGAAGAAGTCCCTGAGAAATCAACTGCAACACACCACATATGGCATTTCTCTGCAGGTTGCATCCCTTCTCTCGGAGACAGTTCAATTGTAATCGTGTTTATTTATCGTTGTGCTTTTTGTGTTTATCTTGATAAATTTGTGTCAGCCCTTAATAATCGTGGGCTCAGTGCCTCTACGCCTAAAAGAAAAAGAAAATTTGCAAGTATTTTGATGGAAGTGAAACTGTGTTTTTGAAAGATTGGAAAAGGGTGAATGTCTGATGAACATTGTGTGCACTCTTAACCTTAATGAAGCCAACCTCCTAGATCAGTTCCTGCTAATGCAGACAAAATAAAAGTTAGCTGTATGAGTGTTACTCCATTAAGTGCAATGAGAGTTAATTGTTCTCATCCTTTGATTATGAAAACAATACAAAAGCTGTTGAGCTTATTGATTAGACACCAAAAAAAAAAAAAAACAATCTGGTAAGTTTGCAAGTGATGCAGAATAAAGCTTTAAGTGTTTTTGTTTTTTTAGTAATGTTTTATAAACTGAATACAATGTATTACAATTTTATAATACTGTACTGTACATAGCACTTAATTGTTACATGTTACTCTTCCCTCTCTTCACCTTCACTCATCCCTTTTTCGCACATGTCTCTGAATGGAAAATTAGTATTCAATTAAAACTATTTCATCCAACACAACACAGTACAGTACAGTACAAATTGTTTTCCCAGACCATATCTGCTGTGTTAAACGAGGGTTGACTATATTTTAGAAAAAGAGGAAAAACTGTACATTAATATTTTTCTTAAGTGTAAACATACAAGAAAATATAGTGATTTATATAATTAAGTATGCTAACATTTCCTCCAACACCATCATCATCACTGTTTTATGGCCATTGTCCATGCCTGTGTGAATTTGCCTTTACAGTACAGTATTATCTGGTGGTACGATGTCCTGTCTGCCAGCAGTCATATTTGAAGTACAGTACTGTAAGTTGTACAGCTGTATGCTTTTCCTATCTCTAACCCACTTTTACAGAATGGGAAGTGGGTAATGTACAGGTATTATGTAAAGGACTTCCAAGTGCCCTCTTAGCTGGCAAGGCAGGGTTGCTACTCCCAGTGGTTATCAAAGATTACCTGCCTACCATAAGATACAGTATATGCATTAAACAATAATATCAACATATTGTATATACCTGTACTGTATAATATTTTTGTTCAGTATACTTCAAACTCTGAAGAAAACATACTTTGAAATTTGGATGTAAATCTGTACAATACATTATTTGGTAACCCAACTCTTTTTACTGTATTTATTAAATGCACTTATATTTACAGCTCACGTAATGATTTTTCATTAATCCCGTCAAGCTTATTTGTATTCACCAAAAATACTATTGTCTTCCTTGAATTACTAATTTTGCTCAATACAGCCCCCCAGAAAAGATATTAAGAGGTTTACAGTAAACTATAAATCAATAATGTTTGGTAACCTGAACATTTTGTTGGTCCTAGACATGTACTGTATGTTTAAAGTTTCACCCCTGAGCTTGCATATTACTAGATAATTCTCAGTCCACAGTCTTACGATATTTTGAACATTCAGGTGTCCACTAATTTGACATACTACAGTACTGTAGTCAAGGTTTTGTAATCATAGTACAGAAGTTCTGCTATAACGCGATAATTGTGTTCTTGTAAAATATCGTGTTATAGAAAATCGCGCAGGTAATAGAAATAACAGGGCTTATGGAGAAAATAGGGTTAGGTGCAGATTACTCGAAATCGAAAAAATTTAGTAGTTAGCCTAACACAAAGGATAGCACAGTCTAAATAAATGTTACATTCATATCTAATAATGAAATCATACAGTAAATTTAACACTTTACCTTGAAAAATATATAATGTAACTTGATGGGGGAGAATGATTTTGAGGTTGATAACATCAGCTTCTCTTCAAGTGTTATATCCTTTCTTTTACGATAATCACGGAATTCTATCATCAGAATGCTTTGGAGATATTCTTCTTTACCATATTCACAGTTAATACAAAATTGGAGAAATAGTAAGCAAAAATCGCGTTATAGCAAATAGCGATCGCGTTATACAAATATTGTTCCGAATTCATAAATCGCGTTAGAGCAAATTCGCGTTATCGAAACCGCGCGTTATAGCAGAACTCACTGTATCATACATAACACAGTATTTTTCATTGTCACATCAGGTATGCTTTTGTGAATCTCCATGAACTGTTGAGAAAGGGGCAAGATCTACAAGATGAAGATTTAGTTGTAGAGTGCTGATGATGGCAGCCAAATGGGCATTCTACGTGTGACACTTAACATTGTTGAAGTCCTCAAACATCTGAATGTCACAAACTATTAAAAATTAATAGATTTACTGCAGTATTGTTTTATTTAAAACCTCACAAAACTTTTACAGCTTTCTTGTAAATAAAGAAGTTTATTTACTATACAGTAGTGTCTCAGAGTATGCGAGGGTTACATTCCTGGGATCCCCGTACAAGTGCAAATCTGTATCCACTCAACCTCCGTGCTCCTACATATAACTGAATAATAAAAAAAAATTGAAGAACGTTCTGTTTATCTACTCAAAATTATGAGTTGGAGAGTAACCATAAGATAACACTTACCTGAGCCTGGTAAGGAGAGTGGTAGGGGGGTGTGGCCAGCCCAGCTGACTCCTGGGGGCATGTGATTTGAATTTTTGCCGGGTTGTAATTTAGAAAATTTGTAAAAGTGAATTTTTTATTCTCGAACGTTCGTATTCTGAAGGATACCTGTAATCCCTTTCTTATACTCAGGTAACCGATCTGCAACTTCAGAGTTTGATACTCCACTCCTTTGGAAGTCAAATTTTCTAACTTTTCCTTCAAAAGTTCTCACAGTATGCACGTTTTTCTTCTCATTCCCACCACCACGAACACTACCACTAATTTTCCTCTTAAGGGCTAGGATTGCAGTAAAATTCACAAGTAAAGAAAAACTTTTCCAGCATGAATGTCTGGGAAATGTTCATGGAATCAATGCAAGAGGGAAGGGCCACTAAAGCTGGCAATCAGAATGGGTGAGGCTGATTTTCAACTCATAATTTCAGGTAGATATACATTTTTTTTTATGCTGTTGCATGCACACACAATCTTTCATACAGAATGTGCAAAAAAATTTATATTATCATCAGGTTAAAGCAAAGGCAATAAATATTTTTTCGTGTGCATGAGTTACCGTAGTACACACAACGGGGGAGGGGGGGAGTGGCCTTGGGGATCCCAGCTGCTCACTGTCCTGTGTCCTGTGTGTAGTGAATTGATTGCCAAATGGCGATGCAGCATTTTTTTTTATTAGTAAATTTATTATTTTTATTTATTCTTCACATTTACTGGTACAGCATTGTATACACACAACACAGTTCAGCCAGGCAGTCACCCAGCTAATTCAAGAGACATGTGTGGCTGCTGTGCTGTGTATGCCATGATGACATAGTGAGAGGGAGTGCGGCTGGCTGCAGTTACAGCTCACTGCTTCAATACAGTACTGTACTTACGTTCACTTTAAATGAGCATGGACGAGTGATAAACATGCTGAGCTAGCGAGAGATGCCCATTATAAGAGCGAGACACAAGCATAAGGGCGGTTCAGGGGGTCAGACGTGTATAAGCAGGAGTTGCGTGTCTTGCTGTATTTTATTAGCAAATTTCCTGTTGCATTCATGACTTATAGGCCTTTAATAAAATCCAGTGTGTGTGTTCCTTATGCATTTCCACAACTTTGAAGATAAAAGCTGAAACTTGGTAGGGAGGTGTGGGTGAATTAGGGCAATGGTCATGTTGTATTTCCTCCTCTACTAGCAGTGGCAACCATGACCCCCCACCCACAGGTCTGTTCACAAATTTGAAGATAAAGTCCTAAATTCTTATACGGAGGTATAGGTGGCCAAACAGATGGTTATGCACCATTTCCTGGTAGAGAGGTGTTGGTGGACTAGGGATGGTTATGCATTTTCTGTTCCTCCAGAATTTTTGTTTTGTTTTACAGGGATGAAGGCAAATAATTTGATTACAAGATCATCTCAACACCTTAAGACATTAACTAAATTCAGCAGCATCATCATTTTTGCTAAATAATTCTTTTTTTTTTTAGGTGTTGCTTTAGTAATCAATCAATCAAACAAAGTACTATCCTCATATCTAAAGTCTGGTGACCACAGTCCTCTAAATATTTTGGGGCTGTTTTTACCAATCCTGCTTTTGTAAAAGCAGATCTAAACTACAGTACTGTACTTGCATTTTGAAACAAACTACAGTACCCAAAATTAAAATTATAGCTAAAGACAGAGTCAAAAGTTAGACAAAGTTACATTAATAAAGTAATGCGGGACAATAATGTATGAAGGGCATTAAAAAGCTTGAAATTATAAATGAAACCAAGAAGTTAACAATGGAAAAAGAAGATCATCTGCCATAGTAGTGCTTCAATGGATGTTTCTGTTACCAAGACAATGAAATACTGTATTGACTGAATGTGAGAAGGACTTAAGTGTGCATGTTGACAATGAGCTGAAGTTCTCAGGCCATTGCAAGAGGGTAAATCAGGCAAATAAATTATTGGGTCTTATAAGAAGGTCATTCAGATATCTAGACGGAACGTCCCTCGTAACGATCTTCAAGAGTGAAGTGCTTCCCCATCTGGAGTACTGTCACCCCGTCTGGTCCCCGAGATATGCTAGGGACTGTCAGTTGGTTGAAAATGTTCAAAGGAGGGCCACCAGACTGGTGCCTGCACTTCGGCACCTCAGCTACCCTGAGAGATTGGAGCGCCTGAACTTGCCTAGCTTATACTAGATGGGCAAGGGGTGACCTAATTGAGGTGTATAAGCATCTCAAGGGGCATACTCGGTCGAGTGTCCTTACTTGAAGCTGGCGTACGCTCACCCCACAAGGGGTCTCGACTCAAGATTGAAGAAGCCGCGAGTCCAGAAAACTGTGAGGGCAAACTTTTTCGGAGTGAGGGTTGTAAACACTCAAGACTTGACCAACACTGGAGCGGGTTCAGGTACATTCAGGAGCCGGTGCATGCCCAGTACTTGCCAACAGTGCGTGACAGAGACATGACCGATCGCCCAAGCGGCTAACAAGCCGATCTTTTGGTGAAGAGGATAAAAGAAAAGGAAAAGTAATCAGAGACGTGACCGATTGCCCAAGCGGCTAACGAGCCGATCAGTGGTGAAGAGGATAAAAGTAAAAAAAGATAGAGTAACAACTTTTTGAATTCCAGATCATTTCACAATATCTGGCTGTTTTAACTTACACTGCAGATCAAGCTTCAAGCTGCCTATCATTCATATTAGCCAATTCACCTTTGTTTTCATTAGGTATTATGTCAAATAAAACCTAAGGGTTTAGCTTTTTTTTTTACAACTATTTCACATTTTTTACTATGTTCTTGGAAAATATCTCAACCGTGCCTCAAGCAACACATTTCAAATGTGAAGAACATTAGTAATTTGTCATATGTAAGTTACAGTGTAACATTTTGGAATGATGTTGCTCCTTGGTGTCCATTTTAGAAGTGACTTTATAGATCAAACTCACGCCATCTCATCTTAGTTGGATAAAATGAATGCCCCCAAATCAGAAAGTTTTATGATCAGCAACCCTTTTCTTGGTGATTGGTGTATGTATTAGGACCCATAATAACTAACATTAGTAGCCAGAACCAATCTAAATAAATAGTAAACCTCCCCTGCAGTAACTATAGCCCTGAAAAGAGGTGTTTACAAGCAAAGACTTTTCTGTAATGGACAGTAGAGAGGAGATTGGGTGAGTACTGATGTCACAGAAGCACCTGCCCCTGTCATCTGTTGTCTTGGTCAGCCATGCAGGTCTTCCAGGCCACACCATACAAATTTTGGTGTCCCACAGTTTGCAATTCTGCAGGTACAACAAATATGCGAATAGTATATGTTTCATCTCTGCAAATTAAGAATGATTCGGGGTAAGTCATACAGTCCTTAATGTTAATATTTAGGGGAAAAAATATATTTAACATGTCACAAGTGTTAATTTATCTCTGTCAACATTCCAATACAGACACAGATCAGGGCCGGACACAGACAGAGAGTCTAGGAGGTGGGCACAGTTGGACCATCAAGTGTACATATGGTATACTTAAATTTTTAATTGAAAGTAATTAAAAAACAACAACTGCTTAATAGGATAGGATAATACAGATCTTTTACTACCGTAATAATTAAAGAATATACGTACTGTAATACTGTACCGTATATATTGCACACTCGTCATTACAATACAGTACTGTACTGTACTCCAAACCATAAAGATTAACACAATGAATCAAAGTAACTGAAACTTAATGCAATAAATGAATGTAACCACAAAATCAAAGCAATTCATTATCTTTATTCAGGATTAGTTTACATAGCCAATATGAAGAGATCATACAATGACTGATATTGTTTTATCACCCCAAATATCTACTAATTCCATCCGCTTTGGATAAGCTCAAGCAAAGTTAGTGATAATTTATGTCTATATTTATGTTTCTATAAACACTAAACAAGGCAAGACCATTTAATCTGTCTTGTTTCATTGTAGAGCACAGGTAACTTTTGAGATTCTTCAGTTGACTGAAGAAATGCTCACAGCTGCATGAAGTGAATGGTAAGATTGCACTGACTTGGAGCATACTATATTTGTTTGGATAAAATAAAGGGAGGGTTTGCCAGATTGTAACTGTCAGAGAGTTTAGCAGATCACTGACCATTGATTGTACTTCAAAACCTTTTTCCTCTATTATGAGTCATTCATCAAAAAAGATGGAGTAAGAGACATCCCCAAAAGAGCATGTTGTTGAGCTGGTGAGAAATGAGTTTTGAATTAACATAGCAAATGTTCAACAAAAGGAATTATGATGGTATGATTTACAATATTACTCATAAAAGGTACCTCTTTGAGGGTGTGGATCCCCTAACCCCATTTTTCCCATAAGGTCTTGAGTTTAACACTCGCAGATTTGACATTCATGATGTTTTTGAGAGAACCTAACCCACACAAATGTTGAGGATTTACTGTACTGTATTTATCCCATCATAAAACATTAGTAAATTATAGAGTCTATCCTCAATGACACTTAAACATTTAAATTATGTGGACTGTGAAATGATGCTTTCAGGGCCACAAAAACAGATTTGCACGTGTCTATGGGGGCACGTGCCCCTCGGACCAGGCCTGCAGGTGACAAGCCAATGGGAGCCAACATAACCCCCACTGTGTCAAAGTATTTTCATATTTCACAGTAGATAATTTAGTTTGTCTTAATGGTTTATTTCCCTGACTTACTGGGGTCAAGTCTGAGGTCATGA